GAGTGAGTGGGAGTGCTCCTCCCTGGCCTCCTCTAAGACAGCCCTGATGCTTGGCCTGACCCTGTCTCTGGACCTGCTTCGGGACAGCTTGGTAGCCTTCCATGTGGTTGGGCCGTGTGGACCCTGAGGACCCTGAGGCCCCACCTGGATCGCGCCTTCTTGGACATATGGTCAGGTCCTGCCTTAGAAGGGAAGTGGCTAATCCACAAGTGGGATTGCCCACACTTGCTGTTCTGCCATTGCTCAGGGTCATCCCAAGTTACTGGGTAGGTGCCTTTTCCTTGGTGCTTCCCTTGCCCTCTTCTATCCTGGAGGATGAGGACAGAATGTGGGGCCATCCATGCTGAAGTGATAGCCACACTCTTCTCCTACCACCTGGGCACAAGGAAGGGCTTAGCCTGGTTGGAGAACCATCTGGGGCCTCTGGGGATCAGGCAGAGGTTCACTGGGCATGAGTGTCAGCACAGCCCTGGCACAGGAGGGAGATAATCCCTGGGCCTGTGGGGTCCAGAGCTGGGAGTGAGTTTGGAGCAGCCAGTGAGGCCACAGCTGATCACCAGCCAAAGAGACAGGAGTCATCTGGGGGTCACTGGTTCTAGCTCACACCTCTGGGCAGAGGCCAGTTGTACTTTGTTCTGGTGGCCTGCCTTCTCTCAATAGCAGGTGAGGAGAGAAGGGATGATTGTTTCTTGCATCTGAGAAAAGGGTTGCTAATGGTACCCGATGCATCAGGTTGGTGTGAGGTTCTACACGCACTGCCCTGGCATGGAGGAGCAACCTGAGTGGAAGTGTTTGTCTTACCAGTGTCTTGGGGCTCTCCTCTGCCTTGGGTGGGAGACTGGATGCCCCTGGGGGAATCTAGGAGGTGAGAAATGGCAGGGCTGGGTGAGGAGCCTCCTCTGTTTATATCTTTGTTGCTCAGTTTCCTTATCTGTAAAATGGAGTTGCCAGCAGTGCCATATGGGTTTTAATGGGAAAGTCAAATGCATGTTAAACACTTCCCAGGCATTTGAGACTATGTGCTCTGACTGTGAGGTTGCCTGGTAGAGGCTGGAGGCCCTGTAGCCTGTAGAGTTTGGGGGATCTTTCAGCCCCTCCTTTAGCCAGTGGCCCTCTGTCCCACCAAGAAGGGTGTCATGATGCCCCTGATTACTCATAGGTGTCCAGCTCCACCTGCTGCTGCCCACAGGTTTCACAATCATTGCATCATGGCCAGGGCATTGCCCAACCCTGGGCACAGACCCGCTTGGCTGAAGTCCCACCATTTCCTGCTCTCTCCTGGAGTCCTTTCTGGAAGGGTCTAGGTGGTAGGAGGAGAGCCTGGATCAGCTTGTCCTCTGGGTGGCCTTTTCCCCAGGACACCTGGGTCTGTGCTTTCCTGCAGCCACCTGCTATTCTTGTCAGGTTCACCTCACAGGCCTTTCCTGAGCACAGATTGGGGAGTGAATCCTGGGGACGGCTGACCTGGGACCCGGAGAAGAGTCCCAAAGATCCTAGGTTTCTCAAGCATGGTGTCTGCTCAGTGTTCCCTTCTCTGGGGTCATGGGTAAACTACTTCTAGCTAGACCTGGTCGTTTTCCCTCTTCAGTGCTTCCCTGGACCAGCCTTCCCCCCGCCGCCCCACCGCCCCCTGCTCCAGCTTGCTCGCCAGATGGGCTCCGTGCTCTACTGGGCTTGTTCCGTTCTTTGCCCACACAGTCCCCTCTGTCCATCTGCACTACCCTTCCCACCTCATCTTGGCTTATGCTCCTCACGTGAAGCTCCCCCTTCAGGGCTCCTGTATCACTCACTTGGCAGACTCTGTCCTGCTTCTTGGCTCTGCCTCGAGCCCCGTCTTGCTGTTGCTGGTTCCTGGGGTTGCTAGTTGTACCCTCCTGTCTGTGTCTTCCCTTTATGCCTCTGTCCCTCCTGCAGCTGATCACTTGAAGGAACTCTCTACAACTCTCTGCTGCAGTCACCAGTTCTCAGTTGTGTTTCTTGGCCCCGAGGCACCCTTCCTTTTGCTTCAAGGGGGATCCAGCTGGAGGTAATGGGGCAGAGGGCTGACCATGCCCCTCAGACACAGGCCTGACTCCCTAGGAGAGCTTGTATCCCTTTTGCGTCATGGCTTTTGGGAAGCATAAGGTCCCCAGGAAGAGGGGGTCTGTATAGTGTCGGCACTGTCACCTAGCTCCTAATGCCAGAGCCCTCATGCTCAACTGGATGCCCAGTCCCCAGCTCAGGGGCCTCTGTCTTCCAGGGTCTGGGTCCTTCTTGTCCTCCAGGGGCCTGTCCTGCCCTGGACTGGCCAGCTTGCAGGCTCAGTCTCCTGCCACAGCCTCAGCTGACTTGGATCAGTGGTTCTGACTGGCTGAGCAGGAGAGGCCCAAGATACTAGTGTACAGATGGGAAAACTGAGGCCCAGAGTGCTCCACAGCCTCTGAGCCAGTGTGAGTTTCCCTGGTTGGAGTTGTGTGAAGGTGCCACAACCACCCCTGGCTTTTCTCAACAAGGGGGTGTAGACTTGGGGTCTGTCTGGTGGGTTTGTCTTGCCCTGCTACCACTGTCTGGGAGCCATGGCCTCCTCCTGGCCTCAGTCTCCCCATCTCTTCAGTAGGCAGGCTCACTCTACCTCCTAGGGATTGCCAGGAGCTGGGCCTTTCCTTCTGTGCCTGGCCAGCCCTGCTCAGCCTCCCACACCTGTTTCCCACGGCCCCCTCTGACTGGGGAGGAGGAGCCCTTTGAAGTCTCTGGAGGCGCTGTTCTAATGGAGGCCTGGGCTGCTGGGGAGGCGGCATCTTTTGAAACACCCAGACTCCCTGGAGCCAGGGCTCAGTGCCTGGGGAGGGGCCAGCTTTCTGGGCAAGGGGGTGAAGGAGCAGAAGAGCAGCTTTGTGGGGCTGGCAGGAAGTGAGACTGAGACCTCTGGGTCTTCCCTGGTGCCTCTTTGTGGCAAGGTTTCTCAGGTGGACGATACCTCATGTTTGGAACAGGTGGCACCACTTGAGTTATCCTCTGTGTGAAGCCCTAGGAATAAGGGACCATTGCCAGTCCACTCTTGGAGAAGAGGTTGCGGCTCGGAGATGTTAATGAACACACCCAAGGCTCCTCTCAGGTAGAGCCTGCTGTTTGGTCTCAGAGCCTGGCTGTAGGCTCAGGCTGCTCCCTAGCCTGCCCTGGCATTCCCCTTCCTCATGTTGTGAATTTATCACACATTTCTCCTCCTCCCAGCACAAGCCACACAAGGACCCCCATGTCTGTCTGTTCTGTGACTTCAGCACCTGGTCCTGGCCCTGGCAGGAGTTCAGCCAGCCCTGATTGGCTGGAACCTGGGGTAGGAGAGGGGCTCCGTCCTAGTACAGTGTTTCCTGGTTATAAGGGGCTTGTAGCCAGGAGGCCGTTTCACTGCTAGAATAGACTGTGGAGCGGTGGGGCCTCAGCCCTATTGCGCAGGTGGGAAACTAGATACATGGCCTGCCAAAGCTTAGGCGGGTAAGCTGGAGGACACCAGATTTGGGGCCCTGCCCTGTCAGCCCGCCTGGCTGTATCCCAGGGTATGGAGTGAGGGGTCTGCGTGGTGTGTGCTGGGTAAGCCATGCTGAGCATTGGGGCCAGTTGGGGGGATTGTGCAGCCTGGTAGAGGAGGTGACCGCCCAGGTGGCTCTAAGGACACCAGAAGATTGCCAGGCAGAGAAGCCTGGAGTGGAGGTGGGCAGTGTTTTGAGGCCGCCATGGGCTGGAGATGAAAGGGTGGGGCTTATTTGGGGAAGCAAAATAAGTCAAACCCCACAGCCACCAGGAAGGCCCCTGGAAGCCATGTAAGAGCGTCCGGCCAGGGGTGAGCAAGACCTGGACATGGTGTTTCTGGGGTTCTGCAGGTGCAGGGAGCCCTGGGGGGCCATTCTGAGGGGAGACCTGGGTTTAGGGGGTAGAGTCTGCTGGGGACTGAGCTGCATTGCAGGTCTTCCTTGCCTAGTGCACGGCTTGGTTCTGGAAGTCTGGAGTTTGTGGAAGGAAGGATTGAGGGACCAGGAGTGGAGTTGGGCTCCAGGGGATAACCGTAGGAGGGCCTCCCTGCCCCTGTGTGGCTGTAGCTCCGGAAGCCAGTTGTGGCTTGTTGGGGGAAGCTGGGTGGGGCTGCTTCCCCTGCAGAAGGGCTCTTCCGGCTCTCCATCTGGCCTCAGGAGGCAGCCCCTGCCTTGTCCCTCACGTGGCCCTTTAGCTTTAATGGGGGTTTTGGGAAGCCTTGGGCAAAGGACGGTCTCTCAGGACCTTGGATTAGAACTGGCACTTGGGCTGATACTTCAGGCCTGCTGTGGGTCCAGAGTAGGTAGTGACACCCCATTGGGCTCCGGGGATGACTACAGCCACTTACCTCTCCATAGCTGGCTTCTCTGTTGGCCAGAGGACCTCCAGAAACCAGGCCCAGAGAGGGTGAGGAACCACCCAAGCCATAGAGCCAGGGAGAGGCAGAAATGGGATGGCTCTTTAGGTCTCCAGCCCAGGGTTCTGTCCCCTGTACTTGTTTGTGGTAGATGGGGGAACTGAGGCAGACGGGGTACTTTCTAGCATGGCGTGGAGAGGCAGGGCACAGGACAGGAGCAGTTTTCCCTGGTTGGCACGGGGAGTTCTCTTCCTGCTTGCTTTCCCTGGGGCAGGGGGCTTCCCCACCTGGAAACTGCCTGGGTGCAAGGGGATGGTTGAGTCCATGAGGGCAGCAGAGCCCAGGGCTGTTTCCTCAGCCTCCCATCCCCCTCCCTTCACCCAGGGAGGCCAAGATCAGGGCTGACCCCTAGCCCACAAGCAGATGCATGGCTGGTCCCCAACCCTGCATGCCCCTCTAGACTGATCCAGCGTCAGGTGGAGATGGGAGATGGGGCCCCAGCCCTGAGGGAGCGCTCAGGCAGTCAGAAAGTGTGTGTGTGGGCTGAGGGGAAAGGAAGAACAGTAGCTTCTGTGGGCCTTAGCTGCCCAGGAAGGCTTCTCGAGGGAGGGACACCGAGGTGGGTCTTGGAAACTCCAAAGTCAGCATTTCCTAAAGGAAGTTCAGTACAGAAACTGTCCTGTAAGCCAAAATGATGGCAAGATGTTTAGTTGTGTTTAATTCAACAGATTGCTTTCCTACAGGACTTGTCAGAGCCTTTAACTTGTTAATTTGTGCAGGGGATCTTTAAAGGGAAAGAGAAGAAAGGTCGATCCCAGCACCATCTGTGACCAGGGACCACTGTGGTTGTGTTTGGCTGTGTGTAGGGGGCTTTTCATGGCCCCACTGCTGGGCAGAGCAAGCCTCAGGAAATGCAGATAAGAGGTTAAGAACAAGCTGGGCCTTGGGTAGGGCAGACCTGGGGTGGAATTCTGACTAGACTGCTTCCTAGTCAAGCAGGGTCCCTGAGTTCCCTGGCTGGAAATGGGGTGAGGGCCTGGCCCTGTCCTGTTCACCTACACTGGAGGCTCTGAGGAGGGGCAGCCTGGTGGTCTTCTGCCCACTTTGCCTCCAGCTGAGTCCTGAGCAATCTGGAGGGCTCAGATTGCTTTCTGTTTGTCAGCAGGCCTGGGAGGCTGGGGACAAAAGCCAGTGCTGCCAGGGTGCTGCCCACAAACTTCCCCTGTCCAGACCAATGTCCTTCCCAATCAATTTATCCCTGGGCCGCTTCTGCCAGGCCCAGCTGAGCCTGACACTGGGTGTCAGCAGTGCTGCTACTCAGGCCCCCAACACCATCTTGAGGTGGTGGCTACTGTTGTCTGCACCCCAGAGGCCAGTCCACTCAGGGCAGAGTGGAGCTGGGCCTTTCCTGCAGTGCTGTGGCTCCTGGCAGGGCTGGGTGGAGTAGCAAGAGCCTGTTCTGGACCCATTCAGTTCTGCCATCTTGATGATAGTTGCCACCCAGCGGTGGCTTTGTAGTGCCAGATGAGAGCTCAGCACCCAGCCTGCATGACCCCATGGTGCCTCTACGGAGTCCTGTGTGGTCAGACTGCTTTTCCCTCTCCTTTTCCCAAAAGAGGAAACTGAGGCACAGAGGTCATGCAGCTTAGACCTGATAGATTTGGGTTTTTTTTCCTATTAGGAATTTTCTAATTGCACAAGCAATATGACAATAGAAATAGAAACTGAAAACGAGAAGTGAGACAGTCACTCCATCAAAGCAAGCTTTGTTTTTCTGGGTCCTAGTCCTGTCCTCATCTGTTCAGGCTAAGGCCTTGACCTTGTGGATATTTCACAGGCTGCCGCACACTTTTGGACAGCTACCTACTGTAAGGATGCATTATATGGTAATGTAATATGCTAATTGAAATCACCAGCTCTTGACTGGTAGACACATTGTTTTCAGTCACTTGCTGTTATGAATCGTGTGCTGGGAGCCATCTTGGATATGTGTCATTGCTCTGGAGTGTTTGTAGGCTGTTACTTGAAGTAGATCTGGTAACTCAAAACAGGGATGTGTGTGTATGTATATGAGAGAGACTTTCTGCTGTCCCTGGGGGTCCTGCTGACTCATTCCTGCCCAGCATAGATTTATGAAATGCATTGATCTCTGTCACCCAGACTGGCAAAAATGGTTTTTCATGGTAGTTTTATTTTCATTTCTTATTATGGGGTAAAGTTATCCTTTTTCCTAGTGTTGTAAAGCTATTTGAGTGAACTTTCTGTGAATTTTCTTCTCCCATTTTTCTACTGGTTTGTTGTTGTTTTTTTTTTTTTTCTTTCTTTCTTTTTTTTGTCGGCACTGGGGTTTGAACTTAAGGCTTCATGCTTGGGAAGCAGGTGCTCTAACTGCTTAAGCTGCACCTCTAGTCCATTTTGCTAATTATTTTGGAGATTAGGTCTTGAGAACTGTTTGCCTGGGCTGGCCTCAAACCATCATCCTCCTGATCTCAGCCTCCCAAGTAGCTAGGATTACAGGTGTGAGCCACCGGTGCCAGCTTTATTGGTCTTTTTGACTTGTAAGAGCTCTTTATATATGAGAAAAATTAGGTACTAGTGATATGAGTTGCAGATAATGTTTCCTTTTTTTGTCATTTGTCTTTTGATCATGTTTTGGTAGTTTTTCATTTGTTTTACATTGTAGTACATTTTGTTCATTTATATACTTGAATTTATCAGTTATGGCTTTTGAGTTTTGTGTCACATTAGAAAGGCCTCATCTACTCTGGCATTCTATGAGAATTCTCTCATGGTTTCCTGGCCTCTTTGGAACACATCCTGTACAGGTTATGATTCTGGCTGGCTCTGTCCTTAGGGCTCTCTCGCCTTTTAAAACAGGTGACTTGCAACATGGGAGTTAAGGCTCTCCCAGGTACGAGGGAAGTAGGGGCTCCTCTCCACCTTCCAGTGCCCTTCATCCTTGCTGTCACCATTGGACCCATTGTCTGGGTGGGGCTCTGGGCAAAGCATGTCATCAAGCAGCCTTCTGAGGTCCCTGAGGTCAGCTAGACTTCCCCTTTCTGTTCTTCCTTATCAAGAGAAAAGGGAAAAATCTGTCCAACGTGGGTGTGAAAGTGTTTCCATTCCAAAGCTGGGGGGAAGGAGAGCAGCGCTTAAAGAAATGAATCAAGAATGGGGAGTTTGGGGCAAGAGTGATAAAAAAAACCACCAGTGTTCCTTCAGCCCAGAGCCTGGTCGATTGGTCAGTTGGCTAATAAGCACTGTTGTCCAGACACAGCTGTATGCAGTCCTAGAAGACACTGGGAGGGGAGGGACCTCTGCCTGCTGGGATCTTGCACCAGCAGGAGCAACTTCCTCCTGGCCTGGCACAGATGTTCTCACCTCTTGAGGGAAGGCTTGAAGATAAGTGAGTGAATGGTGACCTATCCTGGGGACTCCACCAACCCACACTAGAATTAGCAGGAGAAAAGGCAACCAGATTTGTCAGTTGTATTTTAAAGGAGAGACTGACGAGGGTCCTGCTTAGCCTGAAGAATGAAGTAATAGGGGGATTTCAGGTGTGAAGGACTACTCTCTCCCTCACCCCTAGTATTGTTCTGGGGATTCAGTGATAACCCTCAGTCTTTTGCCTTTGGTCTATCCTCATCCCTTCTGCTTTTCACTGAGAGAGTGAAAAGAAGCCCTCCGCCCAGCCAAGCCTTGCCTGGATCTGGGCCTCACATGCCTGACACCCTGCTCCTTTGCAAGGAGAAACCGAGGCCCCGATAGGGCAAAAGCGTTGACCAGGGTCACAGGTTGGTGACTGGCAAGCAGGTCTCTGGACCCAGGGCTGTGATCTGGGGAGCACTGCAGGATGTATGGAGTCCCTGACTGGGGATATGGGCTTTGCGGGCTACCATCAGAGGATGTGAGGGCTGGAGGTGTGGCTCAAGACCACCTGCATAGGAGATGGGAGACAGTGGAGACCCTGGGGGAGCCTGCTCCTGCCATCCCTATCTTTCCAGGTTGGACTCCATGGCCGGGCTGTGACCCCATGGTTTCCTCCATCTGTCTGGTACTGAGCCTTCTCTCTGGGCTCCTGCACAGCTTTGTGATTATAGACTGTGGTCATCTGCACCCCAGTTTACCAGTGAGGAAACCAAGGTCAAGTGTGAGGTGACACTGTCACTTCTGTGACCAGTGGTGAGGAATTGGGGTGGACCCTCCCCCCAACTCTTGGGAGAGGTGTGTTGATGTGGCAGGTGCTACCAGTCCCCCGAGGGCAGCACTTTCCCCTGCCCTCCTCCTCTGCCTGCTGCCCATCTACCCACCCTCTGCACCCTTGCACACTTGGGCCTGCCTGCTCCCTACCCCCTCTGCTGCAGCCTTCACTTCACAGGAACTTGCCAGGGCCAGCTGTGGGCAAATGGACCCTTAGGTATACTGGGTGCATCTTGGGGGAGGAGGTGCTAGAGTCCTCCTCATGTCTGCTGGACAGGAGTCTGTGAAGGCCTTGGAGCAGGGCCTCCTGGGAGAGGATTGATTGACAGGAGCAGAGGGAGCAGAGTCCCCTGAAGGACTCTGGGGTCAGGGCTAGCAGTAGAGGGAGGCACAAGGGCAGAGGCCAGCAGGATGGGAATTCTTGGTCCCCAAGTTTTCCTAGGCCCCATGGCTGCTGGTGGCACCTGCATGGGGCTCAGGGGTTCTCTCAGCAGACTAGGAAGCTGCCCAGGGTGGTGACCTGATCCCCAGGGATTCAGCTGCTTGTGGGTTTGGGCTGCAGCAGTGAGTTGCCAGGTGGGCCGGACAGGGCCAGGGCCTGATGGGACCTCCTGGGGCCTTTCTTCCCGCAGGTCTGTGGGTCTCTTAGCCTCAAGGCCCCCACTTCCCTTTTCTGAGGCCACCAGCTAGGCCCTCTGCAGTTCCAGTGCTGCTGGGCTCTTGCTCTGGGTTTGAGGAGGAAGTGGGTGCCCTACCTCAACAATGACAACTGGGAGTCCAGAGCACACTGCCCCCGCTGAGGGTGGGGGGCCCCAGGTGCTGCCAGGTCAGCTGCTTCCAGTGAGGAAGGGTCCCCTGAACACCCTGGGACAGGTCCTCAGCCATCCTGTGGAGCCCTAGCCTCCAGCTCCCTGGGACCCCTGCTGTGGAGTCTGGGTGCAGCCGCCAGTGTGGAGGAGACCACAGCCCTGCCTGGGAGGTGGGAAGGGAGAGGAAGGTGGGGGTGGCTCAGGGCTTCCTGGAAGGGAGGCACTTGCTCCTGCAGGGCGGAGTGGGGCCTTGATGGGCTCCTTAGAGCTCTTCCCTCTTGCCCATCGCTCTTTCTATGCCTTCTTGTAGGAAGGACAAGAAAGTTTTGAGATGTTATGAACTTTCGGGATGTCAACACTGTGAGGGTGACAAGCAGGAAGAGGTGTGAACCCCGATGTGGTGACAGAGGTATGAGTAGGGGTGAGTGGAAGGTGTCCCCTCCCTGGCCCATCTTCCCTCCCTGGCTGCCTGCAGGGTCTGTTTTCACCCTGTGCTAAGTAGGACCCTTGCCCTCCACTCTGCACCCATGGAGGGGCGGTGAACCCTTTCTGGAGTTAACAAGCTGGATAAGGAGGTCTCGTATGGACCTTGGGACTCCCCACTGCAATTGACAGAACTGCAGCTGGCTTGAGCTGAAAGGGGTATCACCTGCAGGACTGAAATATCCCTAGGTTTCTTATGCTTCAGGCATGGCTGGGTCCAGCTCCCTGGGGGACATTGCTAGGGCTCTGTCTCTAGTTGTCTATGGTAGCTGCCATTGTATATGGGCTGTTTCCTACAGTAGCTCAGGGGTGGTCAGCCAGCTACTCTTCCCCTGGAGTAGCAAATGCCCCAAAGAAGATTCTCACTGAATGATGATTTTGGTAACGGGCTGGGGAGGGACTGTGTTGACTACCCACACAACCTTGAGTCATGGGACCAAGAGTTGCCCAGGAGAAGCAGGCAATACCCTCCTCGCACCTGGACCATGACAGGTTCCTTTCCCATAGAATAAAGCTACTCACCCCAGCAGCGGGCCATAAGGATGAGGGCAGTGAGGGACTTCTGGGACTGCAGTCCCCCCAGACAAAGGGGCTCTGATTGGAGTTCAGACAGGAACAGTGAGGTGGGGCTCAGAGAGTAGCAGGGAGGTGTGGCTTGGCTTGACAAAAGGTAGGACTTGCTGCAGGACAGTGACAGAGAAGCCACCTGTGAGCTGATGAGTGCTGTCATCAAGGTGTGCAAGCCACCAAGGTGTGCAAGCCACCAAGGTGTGCAAGAGAGGCTGCAGGGTCACCTCTGGCAGATGTGACCCTGCCCCATTGGGGTCTTCCTAGTTACCAGCTGGCTGGAAGATGGCTGGTGATCATCAGAGGGGCTGTGAAATCTGCCCTGACAGATGGCTCTGAATCTGGCTTTGGGACTGGCTCCTAGGGAGGAGCTGGCCTGGGGAAGTGCCCATCAAGGTAGTCCTCAGATCCTTCTCCAGCAGTGGACATGCAGTATTTCCTCCCAGGCCAGCCCCGCCTTGCACTGCCTGGCTGTTGCAGGAGCTGGATGAGGTTTCTTGAGGTCAAATCCCTGTGCCCAGTGCTGTCCACAGTCTACTTCCTTTCCCACTGTTGCCCAGGAAGTGGCCTAATTAGCTCTCAAAGAGGAGTGGGCCCTACAGGCTCTCAGGAGCCCGTGGCTCCTGCCTGTGTGCTGACTGCCCTGGCTCTGTGTGCCTGGAGGGCAGGTTAGTGTCTGGGATGAGAAGTGAGTGCACATCTTCACCCTTGCAAACATGCACCCTGGTGGCCTGCAGCTGTGGTCTCAGGCTTTACCTGGAGGATGGGGCAGCTATGCAGAGTTGTCCCAGGCTCTTGGTGTTTGGGATTTCCCAACCTGGCAATCCCAGTGTGCTGGTGTTTGGCACCAGGCCACAGTGGTGGGCAGGGTTGCTGTGTGTGTTCTTGTGGCATCTGGTTTGGTCCCTTGGGCTCTCATTGGGGAAACCTGGGTCCTAGAGCTGGGTTGGGAGCTTGCAGACTTGGTTTGAATCCCAGCCTTTCTACCAAGCAGCCGAGCCATGTGACTGCAGGCAAGTAACTCTGCCTCTTGGTTCCACATCAGATTATGTAGACGCGCGCGAACGAACCTGGTGTGACGGATGCTGTAGTTCGTGGAAAGTGCTATTTAGCACCCTGGCTTGGGCACTACTCGGGAAGGGGCCTTATCTTGTTTTGCAAGTCCCACAGTATGGGACTAGGCATATATTCTTGGTGCTCAGAACATGCCTGCTGTGGAATAAAGACTGACTAGTTTAGATTTTTAAGCTGGTGGGCTGCACCACTTAAAAATTTAAAGTTAGCTGCCAACATGTAGAAATTATTATTTGCATAGAAATTAGACTTACAGCTAGCTGTCTGAATGCTTTGGGCATATGGGCAGCCCTGTGAAGAGTGGCCCTGGTGAGATGTCTTTCTGGGCACAGGAGCCAAGTCCCGGGCACATGGCCCAAATATGTGCTCTTACCTCCCTGGGCTTCTCAGGTAGAGCCTGTGGCGGATCCTATATCCAAGATAGCCCAGTGACCTCACAGCAGTGGGCATTGTGGGGAATCGTGTGTGTGTGGGGGTGGGGGCTGCTTTCAGCCTTGGGGCCTCTGCTGTCCTGCTCTTTTGCTGCTGGTGGCTGGCTGTTTGTGCCTTTGAGACCTCCCTGAGCCTTCCCGTGTCTTACAGCTTGCTTGCCCTCTGCCACCTGCTCTGTCCTGGTTCCAATTTCAGGTAGGCTGGAGGATGTCAGTTTTGATGCTTAGCCCAAGGCTGCTCCCTTAACACAAAGCTCCTGCTGGAAAGATGTCAGTGGCTCCCAGCCCCAGCCCCAGCCCCAGACCCAGCCGCAGCCCCAGCCCCAGCTACTGTGTCCAAGGATGCACAGGGCTTACTCACTCCCTCTGGAGACTGGGAGAGAGAGGGTCTGTTACACAGGAGGTGTAGCTGGGTTGGCAGGCTACAGCCTTTTAAGAATAAATGAATGCACTGATGAATGAAGAGTGCTCAGGAGAGAGGGAGCCTGTCTGGTTGAGCATCACAATCCTGGAGTCTGCTCCCAGCTGCCACAAAGGGTCCCACGTTCCCTGTCTGAGACTCAGCTTCCTTTTCTGGGAAGCTGGGCTTGCAAATTTCTGAAGTTTGTATTGGTGGGTCCTTTTGAGAAAACACAGTCTCTTGTGGAGATCTAAGGTAACACAGACGCAGGGGTGCCCTGGTTGAAGAGGGAATCGGGGCTGAGCCTGTGCCCCCTCGGCCTCCCTGGCCCAGACAGCAGCGAGAACACGCATGTGCCGGTTGCATGTCTACACCATCCACTGCAGTAGTCACCAGCCATTGTGGCTGTGGAGCCCTGGGAAAGTGACTTGTGTGACTGAGGGACTGAATTTTTCTTTTTACTATATCTAGCTGTCTATCTATCTGTCTGTTGGCCTGTTTTTTTTGAGACAAAGTCTCACTATGCAGCCCAGGCTAGATTTGAACCTGGGATCCTCCTGCCTCAGTGTCCCAAGTGATGGGATATAGATGTGTTTTATTTATTTGTTTGTTTGTTTATTTATTTTGGGACTGGGCTTTGAACTTACACTTGTAAAGCAAGTGCTCTACTATCTGAGCCACACCTCCAGTCCATTTTGCTCTGTTTATTATTATTTTGGGGGGGTGGGGATGTAGTCTTGTGAACTATTTGCCAAGGCTATCCTTAAACTGCAATCTCTTTTTTTTTTTTTGGATGGTACTGGGTTTTGAACTTAGGGCCTTACAGGCACTCTAGGCAGGTACTCTATCACTTGAGCCACTCCACCAGCCCTTTTTTGTGATGTTTTTTTTTGAGATAGGGTCTCAAGAACTATCTGCCTAGGCCTGGCTTTGAACTTTGATCCTCCTGATCTCTGCCTCCTGAGTAGCTAGGATTACAGGTGTGACCCACCAGTGCCAGTTCATAGTTTTATTGTTAATTTGAATTCACTGTAAATAGCCATGTGTTGCTAGTGGCTACCATGGGACAGCGCGATTCTAGAGAGGCCTCAAGTGGCCCTGCTCTCCCCCTTTCCTGACTTGGCCAACTGTCATCAAGTCCCTGGTCTACTTTGTCTCCACAGAGCTGAGAACTCACATGTCTAGTCAGACCATCCTGGATGCCCAGGAAGACTCTGGCAGTGGAGTGAGAAAGGCCTGGTGACTGGAACAGTGCGGCCTCATTACCCATGATGCTGCAGGCCCCAGGGGCCCCTGCCCAGCCCCACATGCCAGCTCTGGAGAAGCCAGAGGCCTAGGCCCACAGAGGAGGGCGTCGGCAGACAGATGACCCCCAGACTGCGGGGGCTCCTGAGTGGGCTGCTGGGCCAGGGTGCTGGAGAGGAGGATGCCAGCCAAGGGGCGCTACTTCCTCAACGAGGGCGAGGAGGGCCTGGACCAGGCCACACTCTATGAGAAGTACCGGCTCACCAGCCAGCATGGGCCACTGTTGCTCGTGCTCCTTGTGGTGGCCGTCGCTGCCTGCATTGCGCTCATCGCCATCACCTTCAGCCATGGGGTGAGTTCCTGGGCAGCTTTGGATTCTCATCGACTGAGACACTCTACTGGAGAGCTTGGGCAAGCATGGTCTTCCTGAAGCCTCAGGTGTCTCATCTGTGAAAGCTGACTGTGGCATTTAGGCTGGTGCAAGACAGATCAATTTGAGTTTAATTTTGAAGTCTGGGGTGGTGTTAGGTATTACATTCATTGGACCAAATAAATTACCCTCCTTTTTCTCCACCATGAAATTCCATCTGCAGATCAGGGACAGCAGGCCCTGAGTGTCACTTCCCAGGCCATAGCAGACGTCACTGATCACTCCTTCCTAAGCCTGGCTATGGTCTCAGCTTCCTTAACACAACCGTCCAGGCAGACACGACCAGTGTTGCCTCTGGCCTGGACACTCCCCTTGCTGCAGCTGCCAGCTGTGTGTAGTTATTCAGCACTTGCCATGTGATTGTTTTGACTGGGGACCTGCACGTTTTATTTTCTTGTTAATTAATGTAAATTTAATTAAAGAGCTCTGGAAGAAAACATCAGAGACTACAGAGAGTTGGTCTGTGTCAAGTGGCTGGAGCCGTTAGGGGCTCTGTCAGGGCTGCCTGGCCTTGGGGGCTGTAACCACAAGACACTTGTCACCTCCAGATGGCTGATGAGTGCTGATTGTCTCTGCCCCGGAGCAGCCTCTGTCCTCACCACACTTAGGGTCTGTGGGGATCCAGCAACTCTGGGTGCAGTGCTCCCCAGGCTCTCCCATCACCTTCCCAATACGGGACTCCTACTGCCATCCCTCATCAGCCTCTGCTCCTTCTAGAAGAGTCAGCTGCAGCCTCTTCTGCTCCGGGCACTTTCCCAAGCTCTGCCTTGGAGGAAGCCCTGTCCCTGGCTGCTGTAGTGTCATTTATCACCCACAGGTGTGTGCAGAGCCCCATGGGAGGCCCAGAAGGAGGATGTTGGCTCAGCCTCATGGGGGCCATGAATCACAGGGTGGGTTAGGAGGACACTTAGGCTGTTGAGGTGACTGGGAAAGGTGACTCTAGCAGAGATGACAGTACCAGCAGGCTTGAGGTTGGGAGAACCAGGAGTGAGGGAACACAGTCACTGCTCACAAAGAGGTGCTGGATGCGAGGCTAGGAAGTCTTCCTGGAGGAGGTAGTGCCAGGAGAAAGCCAGAGCATTCCATGTCTTCTTACTACCAGGACCCCTCTGGACACCAGGCCATCCTGGGCACTGCGTTCTTCTCTCTTGCGGTGTTTGTGGTTCTCTATGTGCTTGTGTACATTGAGTGCCTCTTGCGGCATGGCCTCCGGATCTTGGCGCTGCTCACCTGGGCCTGCCTGCTGATGCTGGGCTATGTGCTGGTGTGGGACTCCTGGAAGAAGGTGGCCTGTGCGTGGGAGCAGGTAACAGTGCTGCTAGCTAGCCGTGCTCACGGCAGCCCTACCCTTGGCATGGGGCCCTTCTGGGGAATGAGCCTGCAGAGATGTGTGGCCGTGGCCCTTCTTCTCCTATGGGCTGTGGCTCTGTGACTGAGGACAGGCCCCAGACTGACTTTGTCCTTTCAGTTCTCTATGCTGATGGGGATGAGGAAGGAGGAGCGTCCACTTCGATGACTGGCTGTGGCGTTTTTGGGTGGACACTATCTGGTTAGAGATGAACTCCAGCTTAGAGGGGCAAAAGGCACCAACTGGCTCCTATGCCAGAAAGGGCTGAGGACCAGGCTTGGGCTCCTACTTTCCTCTCTGCCATCGCCAAGTGGGGCAGAGGTATATGCCACAGCTCCCAGGCTGCTTCCCCACCAGGTCAGCCACCACAGCTGAGGACAGAGCCCTTTCTCAACTAGCTTGAGTCCCAGGCTTGAGTCTCACTGGCCTGGCCTGGGAGGTCACTGTTTCCATAGGCCTTATCCTGTTCCCACTCCTGTGGCTGTGAGAGGCAAAGCTCATAGAAACCACAGACTGCAGGCTACGGTTGTAGAAGAGAAGGACACAGGGCTGGCAGGGTGGAGGGTGGTAGGCAGGGCTGGCAGGGTGGAGGGTGGTAGGCTGTGCTGTGGGAGGCAGCAGGTTACCATTCCACCAGGAAGGGCTCCCTGGGTGACAGGCTCATGGTGTCTCACTCCTGGGAGGTTCAGCTTTGGCCACCGACAGTAAATCAGCAGCAGGAGGTGATGTATGTCTTACCATACAGGTGAGAGGTGAGGGGCTGCCCTGAGGACAGAGAGCCTGGGTGGTGGGGACCGTCACAGGAGACAGGAGATTTCAGGCTACACCATCAGCTCAGTGGCTGGCCTGAGCCTCTGGATATGCCGTCCCCAGGTGCCCTTCTTCCTGTTCATCGTCTTTGTGGTGTACACACTGCTGCCCCTCAGCATGCGGGGAGCCATCGCGGTGGGGGTTCTCTCCACCATTTCCCACCTCCTGGTGTTCGGGGTTCTGACGGGGACCTTGTCAACGCCCTGTATCCCAGTGGAGCTGCAGGTGAGCAGTGGGCTGAGGGTGGAGGTGGGGGACAGGTTCAGGCCTCTGTTGGAAGGACGTGGGTCTGAAGTCAGTGAAGGCCCCATGTGGGTGTGCTGGACCCAGAGGCCTCAGGACAGTGCTCACAGATGGGGAGCCTCAAGGCCGGACTTCCTCTGAGTCAGCTTGGAAGCTTCCCCAATGAGCCCTGTCCTGCTGGTCATCTGTCTGCTGGCCTCGGGTGTTCCTGTGACCTCAGGCCCTACCTTCCAGGTCAGTACACTGCTGTAGTATGAGGTCCTGATCCTGGGCCTCTCTCTCCCCAGGCCTGTACTGGGTTGGAGTGGGTGCATCCCTGCGCCATGTCTGTTGCCTTTGTGCCAACTCAGTGGGGGCTTAGAGATATGTTTTCCTCCTGCCTGGCCTGGGTGTCCACTCTCTGGCCAAGCAGGAAGCTGAGCCCAGCCCTTGGCCCCGCCCTCAGCTGTTGGCCAATGCTGTCACCTTCCTCTGTGGGAACTTCACGGGTGCCTTCCATAAGCACCAGATGCAGGACGCCTCCCGGGACCTCTTCACCTACACTGTCAAGTGCATCCAGATCCGTCGGAAGCTACGCATGGAGAAGCGCCAGCAGGTGAGGCCCCGCTTCCTCAGGGGCCACGGGAGCCCTGTTGTCTCTTTCTGTCTCCCAGCCTGACTCTCTGCACACCCTGTCTTCTCTCTGTTGGGCATCAGAAGCTTGTTGAATGCTGTGCACATGGAGACTCCCGTGCAGGTCTCCGGGGGGCTGCTGGGACAGGGAGGGCGTGTGCCCAGGGGGCTGGTACTGGATGTAAGCCAGCAGTGAATGAGGGCATTGTGGGCAGAGTGGACAGGTGGGCAGGGAGAAAGGTGGCCAGGTAGGCCTGCCTGTCCCCTCGGTCCCTCACTGGTCCATCACCTGTGTCTAGGAGAACCTGCTGCTCTCGGTGCTGCCTGCGCACATCTCCATGGGCATGAAGCTAGCCATCATTGAGCGGCTCAAGGAGCATGGGGACCGCCACCATGCGCCCGATAACAACTTCCATAGCCTGTATGTCAAGAGGCACCAGAACGTCAGGTGGGTGGCTCAGGGGCATGCATTATGGACAGAGTCTCCAGGACTTGAGGCTATTCTGCCAAGCCTGGGGCAGGTGGCCTGCCTTCACTGTTGGGAGACTCAGTCCTTCCAGGAAATGGGCTCAGATCAGAAGGTCAGGCGGGCTGGTGTTGGAGGTGATCTAGCTCCACCCGAAGTTGAAGAGTTCTGTGAAGAAAGAGGACAGGGTCCTTTCTGATGTCTCTCTGCAGGGATAACACTCCCCAAAAGGAGGGCTCAGTGACCATGGGTCCCCCACCCCTAACATGTGTCCTCGGGTGCAGAGTCTCCCTGAGCACACTGCCCTGGGCGAGGTGTACATGGGTCACTTAGAGATTCCCCCAGGCCACTGGACCAGCCCAGGGTACAACAGTAGCTAGGAGCAGATATCCCATTGCTTGTCCGCCATGTGTCGGCTGTGGAGAGCCAGGAGCTCACAGGTTTGGAGCAGGAAGGTCTGGTGGAAATCTCGCTGTGCTCATGCATTGGAGATGGAGTCCTGCAAGGACACAAGGAATGACCTCTGTGAAGTGCTGAGTGTGGGTCTCAGTGTGAGGGAGCAGGGGTGGCATCTAATGGGGGGGGAGGCAGGGGTGGCATCTAACGGGGGGGAGGCAGGGGTGGCATCTAACGGGGGAGGCAGGGGTGGCATCTAACGGGGGGAGGCAGGGGTGGCATCTAACGGGGGGGAGGCAGGGGTGGCATCTAATGGGGGGAGGCGGGGGTGGCATCTAATGGGGGGGAGGCGGGGGTGGCATCTAACGGGGGGAGGCGGGGGTGGCATCTAACGGGGGAGGCGGGGGTGGCATCTAACTGGGGGAGGGGCTGAGTGCTAGTCTTGCTTGGGGTGGACATCTCATGGGTGCAGGGGGAAGAGAGCATCCTAAGCTGCCTGGGAGAGCACTCTGCTCTCAACCTTGACCTTTGGGCTCAGGCTTTGCTCCATGGGAAGTCTTGGGAACTCTGATGGGTCCTGATGGCTGGGAGTGCCTCAAGTCCCTGTGGGGGCTGAGGATGGCAGAGGTAGGCGGGGCCCAGGGCTGGGCTCCTGGCCTAACTCTCACCTCCCCATCCCTCTCAGTATCCTGTACGCAGACATTGTAGGCTTCACACGGCTGGCCAGCGACTGCTCCCCCAAGGAGCTGGTGGTGGTGCTGAATGAGCTCTTTGGCAAGTTTGACCAGATCGCCAAGGTGAGCCATAGGGAGACCACCTGCTCCACAGGGTTGCCAGCCTGGCACTGAGCCGGTGTGGGACTGAGGCTGTGCCAGAATTCTAGCTTCCAGCACCAAGTGCTTTGGAGGTGGGGTTGGGTGGGGGCTGGGGTAGCCTGGTCCCTACCCAGAGTGAGGTCTGTGGAGACACCGATGGTGCATTTCTGGGGATGCATGGGGCCCAGGCTCAGATGGAGGGATGGAGGAAGAGATGGATGCAAGGCTGGCGATCTTAGTCTTACCTGGAGGCCTGGGAGGTATGGAAGGCCCAGTCCCACCTAGGTGAATTGTGGACACGTGGAAGTTTGAGAAACCAAAGAGACCTGAGAACGGAAGGGAACAGTATCTGGGCAGGGGGAATGGAATGTGCAAAGCCTGGAGTAGACTGAGCTCTGAGTGTCCATGGAATGAGAGACAGGGTCACAGGGTCAGATGCGCATTGATATGACGGCTGAAGTGATGAGTGGGACTTGTCCTGCCTCAACCTACCCTGTGTTGCTCACGGACCTTTAGCTTACATGCTTTGAAGAGGGCTGCAGGAGCCTAGGGTCAGGTGTCAGAGTTGGGTTCCTGGAAGCAGTGGCCACTGAGTAGAGATGAAGGCTCTCTATCCTGGTTGCTCACTTAAATCACCTGGAAAACCTAACCGCCAATACCAGCACCCATGTCCGTCAGAGACCCTCAGGAGACTGTGGAATCAGTGGGCTGGAACTTAAGGGAGTTAATACTTCCCAGGCCTACAGTGGAAGCACTTCCACGGTCAGAGCAGTTCAGCCCCGGCAGGCATGGCTTCTGGGAGGATGAGGCAATCCCACTATAGGGACACAAAACTGCTGTGGGGCACCACCAGCTGGGGTACTCTGAGAGCTGGCCCACCCTGGCATCCTGGACTGAGTGGCTCCAGGGCCCACCTGGCCTGAAGCCTTCCTGCAGCTGTAGCTGACCTCCTCCTACCAAGAAGCCAAGGTTCTGCCTAGCCCCCTGGACACAGCCCCCTCTTCCTGACAGACCCCTGGACACAGCCCCTGCCCCCCCGCCCCGCCCCCGACAGACCCCGAGCTGTGGCATAGTGCAGGCCCTGGCAGGTGCTGGCCTCTGCCGAACATCCTGTGTCTGTGATTTTCCTCTTATTCACTGATAAGACTTTCCTCTTATCGGTGGTCACATTCCAGAATTTACCTCCCTCTGAAAGACAGAGCCTCAAGATCTGCCCCTCAACACTCATGTCAGGAGCATAGCTGGCCGGCCAGTCTGTGAAGGAACGGCCTGTGGCCTGGACCTCCCCTGGGTCCAGGATGGTCCTGTGCCTGGCCTGAGAGAGGCGAGGTTGCTGGAGCCCTGGGTCTGTGCTGGGCACCCAGGCCCTGTCCACACATCTGCTTCCTAGCAAAGCTGCTATCTTCGTGTCTTTGTCCACTCAGAACTCAGGGCCAGCAGGAAGCACCAAGCACACGCTGAAACTGGGTGACAGGAGGAAGGCTGGTAAAGGGATGGCTCACAGGGACACATTGAGGGAGGGCTACCCTGTGCTTGGGTGTGGAGCTGGTGACACTGAACGGTCACCCCCAGGCTTGAGGGGATGGGTGGGAAACTGGACACAAGACAGAACAGACAGGTGCCACTCCAGTAGCTTGGCTGGCCCTTAAGACCCTGCAGGAGGAATCTGGGGTGTCAGTGCACCATCTTCTGCTCCTTTCCTCAGAAGTCAGAGGGCAGCTCTGCCTGCTGGGCACCAGTGCACCAGGGACGCTGGTGGAGTGCAGCCTCTCCATCAGATTCCCTAATGCCTCCTCAAGGCCACCCTGGCTTAACAGGGTCTGATGGCAGAACACTCCCTCAAATGAAGTTTCACACAATCCTCCTGGGCCTTCCCGCTGTGGGCATTTCCCCATGAGGATGCAGCCCACCCTTTTCTGGCTGTCTCTTGCCACCTTTACTCTGTTTGGTGTCCATTCCCCAAACCCAGCAGCGTGTCAGGTGTCTCTTGGCCTGCCACCTGTTGGCCCTGGCTTAGTACACCTGCTTCTGCTCCTGCTCAACTCACTCCATTTTGGCCATACTGGCTGCCTGGTTGTCTCTTAAGCAGCTTCCTGGCCTCAGGGCCTTTGCCAGTGCCTGGAATAGTTTTCCTCCAGGTGCCAGCATGGCTTCCTCACTCCATTCCTTTGGGAGTTTGCTCAGATATTACCTTCACTGAGAGGCCTCTGACCGCCTGGGCCCTTCCTGTCTGAGCTCTGTCACCTCGTTGTTGGGCATGCTGCAGACTGTATTTCTCTAGCTCATCGTACAGTGTTCCCATCACAGCTGCAAGGATTTGTGTCTTTCTTCTTCACTGCTGTGTCCCATTGCCCGGCCCAGAGCCAAGGTATACAGTAGATGCTCAAACACTGCGCAGACAAATGAAATAAAGTCAGCCCCTCCCACAGAGGCCCGCACTAAGGCTTGCTTTCAGCCCAGGTGTATGGCTAGAGTTTCCTCCTGCCTCTTTCCAGGCTCAGAAGTGACACTGGAATGGGTAAGAGTCCAGGCCACCTGCTGTGTGGCCCCAGATGCGCCCCTGACCAGGCCTCTCCCTTGCCCCACAGGCCAATGAGTGCATGCGGATCAAGATCCTGGGTGACTGCTACTACTGCGTGTCGGGCCTGCCCGTGTCCCTGCCCACCCACGCCCGCAACTGCGTGAAGATGGGGCTGGATATATGTGAAGCCATCAAGTAGGCGCCATGCCCTGCCCAGCGGGGGCGGGGCTTCTCTGCCATCTCAAGATGAGGGTCCTGGGCTGCCCAGGGGTGGCTTCCCGAGATTGCTCAGTGTGCCATGCAAACCTAGGAGGGGACAAATCTGTTCTGCCAGCCTTTGTCCTCTGGGCCTACTGGTGGCTCCGAGACTCAGAGCTGGAAACTGAGAGCTGGGCTTCATCCCTCCGAGGGCTGAGGGACTCAGGGCAGAGAGCAGGAGGACCTTCCAGAGTCCAGCGCCAGGCTCCATCTTCTTCCTGCTCTCCCTGGTGTCGGTCCAACTTTTGGGCCTCTTGGGCTCCTCCCTGCTAGGTGCTCAGGGCCTGTGGTGGAGGCCAGGTGAGCTTGGCCACACAGACAGTGTGGGACAAGCAGAGCTGCCACCACTCCAGGGTCAACCCTAGTGCCAGGTCACGCTTCCTCCTGAAGTCTCCCCAAAGTGGTGTGTCAGCAGGAGAGTCATGGCAGAGGGACCTGGGAATATCCTGACACTACAGCCTGTGTGACTCAGGCCACCCCCACCCTGTACTGTGTGGAGGGTTTCCTTTGTTCCTACAAGTTCTGACCCTGGTGGGCTTGGTCCCTTTCCAGCTCTGTTGGTGGACACAGGTGCCGGACGCTCCCTTATCCTTTACCTGTTTGTTGGGGATGCAGTGCCCTGCTCAGGTTTGGGGTGCCTTGTACCCTGGATGGCTTTTCTCTTGGGGCTTTGTGTAACAAGTATTGCCAGCAATGCACAGGGTTCCTGAGTCCTGGAGTTGGGGAGAAATGAAGCCTCCAGGACCTCTTTTGTCCATGTTGGGTTTTGGGGACAGTCTTACCCCTCTGTGCACCCTGGCAGCCTTTCCAGACCTGGGCAGAGTTGCCAGGGAGGGGAGACTCTCAGCATGACCCAGAGGGACCAGAATGTTAGGATCCCCTCTTTCTACCCAGCCCTTGAACATGGGGGTGCCTCCCAGCTTGTGCAGGGGCAATAGCCCCTGTCCCTGCCCCGGGGACCTCCAGCCTGTCCTCCTGGCTGGGGTGGGTGATGGGCCTCTCTGTCCCAGGCAGGTGCGGGAGGCCACAGGCGTGGACATCAGCATGCGTGTGGGCATCCACTCGGGGAATGTGCTGTGTGGGGTTATCGGGCTTCGCAAGTGGCAGTACGACGTGTGGTCACACGATGTATCCCTGGCCAACAGGATGGAGGCGGCCGGAGTCCCTGGGTGAGGCTCAGTAGGGCAGGGGCAGAGGCTGACAACTGACTTTGGGCTGAGGGGGTTGGAGTGGGGTCAGCTGTGGCAGAGGGTAGAGTCAATGAGGGGAGCTCCTCTCCTCACAGTGAGGGGAGCCATCTCGGGTTTTGGCCCTGCTTGGCTCTGCCTGCTGAGCGTTCCCAGGTGGGTGCCAGCCCTCTCTGGGCCCTGCTGCTTCATTTGACTTGGTCTCCCCAGGCGGGTGCACATCACAGAGGCGACATTGAACCACTTGGACAAGGCGTACGAGGTGGAGGATGGGCAGGGGCAGCAGAGGGACCCCTACCTGAAAGAGATGAACATCCGCACCTACCTGGTGATTGACCCCCGGGTACGAGGGCTTGGAGGTGGCAGAATGGGGGGGCTGGGCTGGGCAGCCATGGGAGCAGAGTGGCCCACATGCAAGGAGATGTGGCAAGGTAGGAAGAGACCCATTTCCTGCTGCTGGGTACATTCTACGCCAACGATAAAGTTCTTAATGTTCTCTTCTATGAGATGGGGACAAAGGCTGATGCCTGCCTCTTAAGGGGAAGAAGCAGGCGTGTGAGGCCCTCCCCACTGTCTCTGGCTGTTCCCCGCCCTCTGTAACTAGTAGCTGCTGGTAGTTCTTTCCTGACATCACCCTCCCTGATTTGGCTTAGAGTCAGGAAAGCTGAGGGACCAGAGCCTGGGGCCAGGAGCTGTGAGGGTCCTGGGCTCTGGGCCTGCATCTCCTGGCCGTCCACGTTGTCTCCCGTTCTCCAGGAACCAGCTTGCCATGGGGAGGCTGTTCCATGCTCTGGGTGGGCAGGCCAGCCAGCAGGTGCCCTTGGCCGGTCTGCTGCCTGCCCTGCCTCAGGGAGGCCTGTCTGGTGCTCAGTGAACCATCCTTGGGGTTTGCTCAAGAATGTTGGCTGCAGGATGTTTTCAGCTACCTCTCACTTAGCTTTGGTCCTGCCTAGGCGGGGGGCAGCCTCTTTGGCCCCCAGTGGCCTCACCCTGCCAGTGTACCTGGGGAGCCTGCCTTGTCACATTCACATTGTGGAGTTAGCATCTGGGAAAGCCCCTGTTGGGTCCCTAGCCTCATTCTTCCCTGAGCCCAAAGGCTCCTGTTGATTTATCCAGTTACTTGTTTTTTTGTCACCCTGAGTTCTCCAGGGCCTGCTTCCCCTCTTAGCCTGCAGCCCAGCTTGAAGCCAGCAGGTGCTTGGGTAGCTTTGGAATGAACGAAGCACCCCCACCCCACAGGTCAGCTGCAGACGTAGCTCCAAAACCCACCCCCAGGGCTGCCAAATTGAGCAAGTAGGACCACGGGACACAGGGCCAGGCCCAGACTTAAACAGGGAGCAGGGCTTCAGCATAAGGGTCTCAGGCAGTTGAGTCTGCACCCTGCCTTACCAACCACTCTCCCTTCTCCCCGTCTTCCTTTCATTTTCTTCATTCACCTGTTTACAAATCTGAAGGGCGTGTTGTAGAAAGCTCCCTTCATCCTTGGAGCACCAGCCTGGTTCTCTGCTGGCGTTTCTTCCTTCTTTCCACATAGAACTTAAGGCACCTGGCAGGGGGTTAGGGCCACATGGCCTTCCTTGCTTGGGCAGGGATGTGGGCGGTGGTTGTATGTCCCTCACATATACTTGGTGCTGTATTTATGCTGTCAGGACACAGCTCTCCTGGATGGACACAAGCATGAGGTGGTTCCCCAGTTCTAGCAGCCTCAGGATCCACCTCAGCCTTTTCTAAGTGCTGAGCCCACAAGGGTGCAGCCATCTGTGGGGTGCATCCTACACCCCTTTTGCACAGGCACATTTGACTCAGAGCAGTGGGACTGTAGGACACACCTGTTTTTATTTCTCAGGGGGCGCTCCAAGAGAACCATCAGTGACCCCAAACATGGATGGCTGGGTATTGTGTAGGCAGGGTTTTCAACAGTGGAGGGGTGACAGAGGAACAATCCCATATCCAGACCCAGGACAGTCTTGCTTACTGCAGGGCTGGGCCGTCCTCTGGACCTGGGACCCTCACTAAGGCTGAACTATATGTGGTTCCCCCAAGCAGGCAGACCGCGGCTGAAGGTTTAAAAGTGTTTCTATCCCGAGAGGAGGCTAGACATGTCCAGGAGAGTTGGTGCTGTGGCTTGGCCAGCATCTGCGCTGTGGTGGGGCTCAGGAGACAGGACACCTGGAAGGAGGAGGATGTTTGGAATAGTCGAGGGGGAGGTGGGAGTCTCTGCAAGCCCCAAGGTGGCTTGAGTTTGTCTCTGGTGGCCTTGGGGCACTTTCTCTTCCCTCCGCTATATCCAGCCCTGCCTGGCCACCCTGTCTGGAGGACAGCCCAGGTGTACCATCCATGTAGCACTTAATGGTCCCATGCTGGGGTCTTGGGGCTAGATGTGAAACTTCCTGGAAGGCTGCCTTGGGGCTGGGCCAGTGCCTGGTGGCCAGTCTCAGGGTGCCAGCCAGCAGTTCTCTTCTCCCTTGCTCCCCACCAGAAGAAAGGAACATGTGTGGGCCACATGTGGCGGCTGGACAGGATGCCTGTGTTTCCCTGGACCTCATGGGAAGGCAGTGGGAATTCAGGCCCTAGCAACTGACTGTTCCAAAGTGCTCACAGGGCAGATGGGGTCTTGGGGTGAGGACTTAATCCCTCTCTTCCCTGGGGAGGTGGACCAGGCTCCGGGCTGGTCTCTTCCCAGCCTGAGGCAGGGAAGAGCTGGGGTCCCCTTCAGCCTGGCCTCAGAGTATGCAGAACTTTATCCAGTCACCATGGGGAGCCAGGGGGCTGCAGCAGGCTGAGGAGCCTTTGTCATTTCCCTTTTGCAAGACCAGCAAGTGTTCTGAACAGGGTGATATTTTGAGAGTGGAGGGGTGGACCGAGAGGGGAGTGGGTAGGACAGGCTGTGTCTCTGTGTGCCTGCAGAGCCAGCAGCCACCCCCGCCCAGCCACCACCTCTCCAAGCCAAAGGGGGACGCGGCCCTAAAGATGAGGGCTTCAGTGCGTGTGACCCGCTACCTTGAGTCCTGGGGAGCAGCAAGGCCCTTTGCACACCTCAACCAGCGGGAGAGTGTGAGCAGCAGTGAGACCCTGCTCCCCACTGGGCGGAGGCCCAAGGTAGGTCCCCTCTTATCTGGAGAGTTGGGTCAGGGGCAATGAGAAGGGTCAGGTGCAGAGGGTCCTTCCATCTGAGACTCACTTTTTCTGCTGAGTAGTGGGTCCAGTCTCTGCCCTGCTTCCTTATAGGGAGCTGGAGGCATCTGGAGGCTGCTCCAGGGGGTAGCACTCCCCAAGCTGAATTCACCTTTAGTGAAGGTGTCTGCAGCTTGGACAGCCCCCATGCCTTGCTCTGTGGCCTGGGGTGATAAACCTAGGACAAGGGATAGAGTGCAAGGGTGTCACTGTGTTCTCCATTCCCTCCCGCTTCAGGCCATTCCCCTGAGGCGCCACCGGACCCCTGATAGGTATGTGTACCGCACTTCCCCCTGTAAACTGGGCCCTGCTTGCTTGGCCACAATGTGCCCACCTCCCTCTCCAGATAGGTGGCCCTGATCAGCCGGTCCAGGGCAGTCCTCCCAGGCCCAACTCAGGACCTCTGTGGAGATTGACATGGCTTGGTCATAGTGTTTCTAGAACAGGACTTTCAGATCCCTGGGGAAGGCACACTGGGGCTCTAGTCTGCATGCTGACCCTGTGGGGAGCAGAGAAGGCCCTGGCTAGGGACCAGAGAGTTCTCTGCCTCTCTCTGGATGACTGGGCAGCTGGGAGATATGAGCCTTCACTTACCCTCTCTGGGCCTCGGTGGTCCCACCCATGCCTCTACCCTCCTGGTCACCCCACTGGTGGGTCATCTTGTCCACACCTGCCCCCAGGTGAGTGGGTGATGCAGTTGGGGGTGTCTGGTTCCAGGAGCGCGTCCCCCAAAGGGCGCTCAGAGGATGACTCATATGATGATGAGGTGCTGTCGGCCATCGAGGGGCTCAGCTCTACCAGGTGATGCCGTGACCTCAGCCCCTCCCGGGCCTCTCAAATGGGTCCCCATGTGGGTGCTGAGTCCCCCCTTCCTGGGAGCTGCATTCTGAGGCCCCATCTCATGCTGCCATCCCCCAGGCCCTGCTGCTCCACATCTGATGACTTCCATGCCTTCGGATCCATCTTCCTGGAGAAGGGCTTTGAGCGTGAGGTGAGGCCTCTGGGCAGGCCACCATAGAGGAATGGGGCGCCCAGCACTCCCAAAGGATCTGGAGGGGAGGCTCATGGGAATCTGTGCCGTGGAGGGGCAGGGCAGGGCTGGGCTCAATGCAGCCCCAAATTGGTGATTCCTGCCGGCCTTACTACTCAACCTGGATGCCCCCATCCCAGGGATTTACCCTGTGGATTTGGAAGAACATTGCTCTACCAAATGTCAGACTCTCAGCTGGTAGGGGCCAGTAAGCGCCCCAGGCTTCCCATGACAGATGCTCTGAACAGCCTGAGCACTGGCAGGCCCTGCGGGTTCGCCCACCTGGCTGCTGCCACTGTCCTGCTTCTTGTCCTGTAGAGGCCACGAAGTCGTGGCGCATCTTCTGACTCCTGTCAGATCCTGGACATATTTCATTATGTAACAACCCTTAACTCAAAAATGAGTGTCAGGCTAGGTTCACAGACAGGAGCCCTCTGAGGTTCCATAGCCATCCTTAGCCTCAGGCCTAGACCCATCTAGAAGGCATGGGGGCAGGGAGGGGAAGGGGTGATCCAGCATTGGGTGTCTAGGATTGTAGGGAAGGGGCTCCCCAGGTGAGGTCCTCAGGAAATGAGCCTGCTGGCCTTCTGCTGGCTGTGGGCCATGTGGCCTGAGCCTTCTGAGACTTGGTTTCTTACCTACCACAGAAACCCTGGGGGGGCTGTGGTTACCCACTGGTGTCTGCATGGAGGGGCAGTTCAGGGACCCAGGCCTGGCCTTACTCCTTGGTTTAGGGTGAGGCCAGACCTATCAATACCCCAGGAACTCAGACTTGGTTCCTGTCCATAGGGCCATGTGCTCTTCAGGGTCCTTGGAAACAGAGACCCGGCTGGGCACGGGGCAGAGGGAATGCCTGTGAACGCAGAACAAGCTGTGAGATGCCAAAGAGTGAAAGCTGTTTGATGCAGCAGCACCTGGGACTCAAGGAGGGTGGGAGGCATTTTCTTTTAGGTGATGAACTTGAGTGGGGGTGAGGGTGGCTCCGAAGGGGACCCTGCAGATGGCTGTGCCTCAGAGTCATGTTGCCCACAGTACCGCCTGGCACCTGTGCCCCGGGCCCGCTATGACTTCGCCTGCGCCGGCCTTGTCTTCATCTGCATCTTGCTTGTCCATGCCCTGGTGATGCCCAGGTCAGTCTGAGGTGGAGAACAGTTGAGCTCACTGGGGTCCAGCCAAAGGGTGGTGACCACTGGCAAGACCCAGCAGAACACTGGTGAGGTCTTCATGGTCTGCAGGAAGGGACCAACTGTGAGTTTAGTGACTTCAGACCCTGAAGTCCAGTGGTGGGGCCAGGGCTTGTAGCCTCACATCTGGAGTTGCCTTACTTATAAGTAATGTACTTATGCTGTCACAGGCCTCTCTGCCCCCTAACCTCTCTCACCTGCTATGTCACCTGCTATCTCTGCAGGCTTGTCCTGGCCTTGGGCATTTGCAGCCCTTTAAGAATGGACACTGAAAACCCGAGGCACCGTCATCTCCTGCATGTGGGGAAAATGAGGCTTGGGTTAATCACATCCCGTCTGGATCAGGAGCCACTGAGAGGCCTGCTCTGGCTCTGGAGCTTTGACGGTGGAAGATAGGGACAAGGGGTTAAAGTCAGAGGGAGGAAGCAGAAGAGGTCAGTCACTGGTGACCTCTAGGAGGGCAGTTAGGCCAAAGGATACCCAGTGTTGTGGTTTTGGATGTACTTAATAAAGACTCATTAGGAGCTCATGCTTATAATCAACTACTCAGGAGGCAGCGATCAGGAGAATCATCACTCAAGGACAACCCAGACAACAAAAGCAAGACCCTCTCAAAAAATACCCAACGCAAAAGGGCTGGTGGAGTGGTGTCAGTGGTAGAGCACCTGCCTAGCAAGTGTGAAGCTCTGAGTTCAAATCCCAGTATTGAAAAAAAATACTAGGGAATGCTTTTATACAATGCCTACATGCCAGGCTGGTGACAGCACTCTCTACTTGACCCAGAGGACATGATTTTGACCTTGATCTTCATGTTTTGGCCAGGCCTTGTGTCATTAGTGGTGCAGTTGGACCAGTTTTCAAAGATCCTCTTTGCTGTGTGCAGAGTAGCAGTGGGGGAGGGGACAGGTGACCTTGAGCTGGAGAATGAGGGCGTAGGGAGGGGTCTTGGGCACATGAAGCCTACACTTGGGATTTTCTTCCCCTCTAGGATGGCAGTTCTGGGTGTGTCTTTTGGGCTGGTGGCCTGCCTGCTGGGGCTGGTGCTAGGCCTGTGCTTTGCCACTGAGTTCTTGGTGAGTGGAAGCCTGAGTTCAGTGCTGTGAGTCCCTCTGTCCCCAGGGCTCCCCAGTAAGCCCCACTGGTCTGAGTCTCTCTGGGCTGGGGGCTGATGCCCACCTCTCCTGCCTCCAAGACAATTTACTGAGGGCTCTGCAGGCCTCTCCTGAGGCCCTGTCTCCTCAGGCTGCAGTGCTATTCCCGCTGCCTTGGCAGGGGCTGTTTCTCCTTGTCCTAGCTGTTGCTCTGGGTGACTTGATCCTGTGTCTCCACAGAGATGCTGCCCAGCCCGAGGGACACTGCGGTCCATCTCTGAGAGGGTGGAGACGCAGCCCCTGCTGAGGTTGTCTCTGGCCGTGCTGACCATCGGCAGCCTGCTCACAGTGGCCATCATCAACCTGGTCAGTTCCTGGCGCCTGTGATGTAGGACCCTGTCTTTGACCTTGGGAACTTCCAGATTCTGGGATTCTGTAATCTTGTTGCCTTAACAGCTGCACCTGGTGTGACCCCTCTGGAGCTATGCCTTAGTCCTGGGAGTCCCTGGTGCAGGCTGAGTTCCTCAGCCTTCCTAGCAAGGGCTTGGGTCACCTAGAGTACTTGGTTCTGTCTCACCTTCTCTGGGACTCAGTTTCCTCACTGGAGGAAGCCTGGCTTCCCAACCTGTCCTCTGCTGGCTGCTAAGAGCCTCCAGACACAGGCTTCTCTGACTCAGAGCCAAGGTCCCCTTCTCTACCCTGGGCCCTGACGCTCCACAGCTGCCAAGTTTGGGCATGCCCCGTGCCCTCTCTCAGGGCCCCCTCCCCCTCAGAGCTGAGTTGCATGCAGTTGCAGACCCCCCAGGAACCCATGGTTGTCTAGGGCACCTCATCTGCTTCCACAGTTCCCAGAGCCCTAGCCTAATGGGGACCTGTCTCCTCTGCAGCCACTGATGCTTGACTCAGCTCTGGGGCTGCCTGCTGAAAATGAGACGGGCCTACCAGCTGCAAGAAGCAAGGACAGGGCCCTGTGCGCGCTCCTTCCAGTGAGTGTCCTAGTTCCCAGCAGAGTCCTCTGGGTACTATGTGTCTTCACTGGGACACTCCAAAGCACTGGTCTGCAGGCCTTGTTCTGAGCAGCATCGTGAGAGTGGAGGTGAAGACAGGGCCCAGGCAACTGAGCTGCTCTGAGTCTTGGCTTTCTCTAAGTAAGCCATGTGGGGTTGGCCAGTGCCAGGGCATCTCCCAGCACTGACCTTTTATCCATGAACTGTGGCTCTGCAATTGGTCCCTAGGCAAGGCCAAACCAAGGTCGTGGCTAGAGGGGCCCTGTGGGACATCAGGGGCAACAGGGTCTCTAACAGGCAGAAAGGTAGGATGGGAGGGAAGAGGGGAACAGTGGGAGAACAAGCTGAGGCATGCCCTGTCTCAGTAGTGTCTTGGGGTTTGTGTCATGAGGAGGCAATGGGGAAGAACTGGGAGATGAAGCCAGAGAAGTTGGTTTGGTCCAGGTCAGGATGCAGCAGGAATGCCAGGGTAGAGCGTTGATTTATCTTGGGGCACCAGGAAGCTGCAGCATGATCTTGAACAGGAGAGCAATGAGGGCAGAACTGCACTTTGGGAAAGGCAGGTTCATGGCAGTACTCAGGAGACACAAGAGGCTGTTCAGGCATGCAGACCACTGCCTTGACCTTGGTCTGTGGAGCAGTTTCATTTACTACAGGTTTGCCTAAAAACGAGCTCTCTTGTCCTAAGTGGCGAATATGGTGTTGTGTCACGGTACTGCTGTGGTGAAGAGGGTGGTCAGGAGGTCCTGGGGACTCTAGGAGTTAGTGCTCACTGTTCTAAACTGGTGTGATTGCTGGTGATGCATTGTGGGGTACCCCTCGCCCCCTAGTACTACACCTGCAGCTGCATCCTGGGCTTTATTGCCTGCTCGGTCTTCCTGCGGATGAGCCTGGAGCTGAAGGTCATGATGCTGACAGTGGCCTTGGTGGCCTACTTGGTGCTCTTCAACCTCTCCCCATGCTGGCAGTGGGACCACCATGCCCACAACCCAGGCAACCTCACGGAGACCAACAGCACCATCAGGTAAGGCCTGCTGAAGTTCGTTGCCAAATCCCACCCACTGCCACGTGCCTGTAGCTGGCCATGGCAGCTGATTTGCTCTGTTAAGTTATGGCATCTGCATCCAGGGTCCCAAGGGACTGGACATAGCAAATGGTGTGGTTTCCACTTTCCAGAAAAGGCAGAGACTGGCCCAGGCCCTGGGTCTCTGGTTTTCTCAGTAAAGTCCTGATAAAATCTACAGAGAGAGGCCACAAGGCTAGTCCTGTTTCTGGTGATAGGAGGTAGACCTGAGCCAGTTCAGCCCCTCTGAGCTTCGTCCTGGATTGTTAGTCTGGCAAGAGTAGTGGCCTCTGGTCCCTTCCAGGGCAGGTACTGAACATGAGGACTAGGACAGGCTGGGGATTCTAGTGGCTCTGGATTGGGAAGGTGGCCTGGTTCCCTTGAACCAGGGCTGGAAACTTGGGAACCCAGAATCCCCCCACCTCGCCAACTTCCAAGGAGCTCTGGCTGCTGTTAGACCTTGCCTGGCTGATCTGGTCCTTTCGAGGTGTTATTTCCTTGGTGAGGTCCTCCTCCCCCTCCCAGTCCCTGTGCTACCTCTTCCCTGTGCAGCTATAGTTGTCTGTTTACCCCCTGGCCGGGCCACACAGCACACTCTGGTCTTTACCCCTGCTCTTGGGGCTGAACTGACTCCTGGTCCTCCACCCAGCAGCACCCTGGACTGTTCGCCAAGGGACCTGAAGACTATGATCAACTTCTACTTGGTCCTGTTCTATGCCACCCTCGTCATGCTGTCCAGACAGGTGCATGTGGGCTCCTAGCACAGGGTGCAGAGCGCTGGGGGCCTCAGCGCCTAGACAGTAAAAGTCCTGTTGCTATAGCTGCAGTCCCAGGCAGGGATTGTGCTGGCCTTCCACGGCATGAGTGGCCTAAGGTACATGCTGGCCACAGGCTTGGCGTGGGCAATGCTGCGGGCTTGCCCAGCATCCAAGTCACAGTGGTGCTCACCAGCCCCTTGGGTGGGTGTATCACCTGTGGTGGGGTACTGATGTTCCCACTTTGCAGATTGACTATTACTGCCGCTTGGATTGTTTGTGGAAGAAGAAGTTCAAGAAGGAACATGAGGAGGTTGAGACCATGGAGAACGTGAACCGCCTTCTCCTGGAGAATGTCCTGCCTGCCCACGTGGCTGCTCACTTCATTGGGGACAAGTTGAATGAGGTGTGTGGGAAGAGGGTCTGGGCCCTAGGGAGGAGACAGAAAGGGGGATGGTGGCAGAGGTGTCTTGGCTCCTTGCCTGTATACTCCCAGGAGACAGTGTGTGGTATAAAGCCGGGCTTGCAGTTGGAAGCCTGGGTTCATGTGTGGTTGTGGGGCAAGATGCCTCACCTCCCTGGCCTTGAACTCTATCTCTGGAAAATGGTCCTGATGTTGCAACTGCCTCAAGGGTGAAGTGAGTACTCAGGTGTTTGTAACCTGAATGTTCTGCACTGACATCTGTATTTATATCAGTTCTCTGTGTGACCCAGTGACCTGTTCAGTGCAGAACCCAGTCTCCTGATTCCTCCTCCTGCCTTAGGGTCCCCAGCCCCAGCCGTACACAAACCCCCAGGTGCTCACAGAGCCAAACACCAGCTGGTTCAGAATCAACCCATGTTCTCCCAGACTTGATTGGGAACCCCTGTATAGGCTTCAACAGGCAGTTCAGCAGTGCCATGCCCTGTCCCCTGAGGAGGCTCAGTGGCCAGGAGGTTCTATTTCTTCTCTGCCCTGCTGCAGGACTGGTATCATCAATCCTATGACTGTGTCTGCGTCATGTTTGCGTCTGTGCCAGACTTCAAAGTGTTCTATACTGAGTGCGATGTCAACAAAGAGGGGCTGGAATGCCTGCGATTGCTGAATGAGATTATCGCTGACTTTGACGAGGTGCAGGATGGAGGCTGGGGCACGGGGGCACCCTAAACCCGCTAAGACACCTGATGCCAGGGGTGGCTCAGTGGTAGAGTGTATGCTTAGCATCAGTGAGGTCCTGGCTCCAACCCCAGCACTGCAACCTAGTAGACAAAACAACATGCGGCTCCCTCTTTGTTTAACATGGATTACACAAAATATTAAAGGGGCACGTTCAATTGATTCAGCCAGTCTTTCATTAAATCTCCATGCAGGGCAGCTACCAACACTAGAATTAGTCCTTTCAGGAGTCTGACTCCAGCTAGGCCATGCTGCCAACCACCTCAGGAAGTCAGCTTGGGCTGATCTTTGTTGAGACAACTTATGCCTCTTCGTGGGTAATAATGCCCAGTTGTTTGCCCTTTAAAAGGATGGAGAGTGGGGGTCATGGGAGGAGGAGGCCATGCCCCTCCCATACTTAGTTATGAGCAGGAGGGAGTCCCATGCACCTGGCAGTAGGACTGCAGTGGCTTCTGTTTGTCCTGCAGCTGCTGTTGAAGCCTAAGTTCAGTGGTGTAGAGAAGATCAAGACTATTGGCAGCACCTACATGGCAGCTGCAGGACTCAGTGTCCCTTCGGGGCACGAGAACCAGGTATTCACGCCCCATGTGAGGGGGAACTCAAGGGGCAGACCTCAAACCCATCCTCTTAAGAGTGGATGCCTCGTGTCCTGTCCTGTGAGATGGGCAAAAGCTCACGTGGCTGTACCTGGATTTTCTTGGTGGTGGAAGCAGGAGACTTTGTGGGGATAGGGAGCCCTATGGAGGAGCCCTCAGGGTGACTGTCTATTGATGCTGCTCCCCATGGGACCCATGTGGAAGCTGAGCACCAGTGCCCCCAGTCAAGGATCTGTGGAAGGAGACATGAGGCAGGATGTCATGTACCCATGTCCTGTAGGACCTGGAGCGGCAGCACACGCACATAGGCGTCATGGTGGAGTTCAGCATCGCCCTGATGAGCAAGCTGGATGGCATCAACCGGCATTCCTTCAATTCCTTCCGTCTCCGTGTTGGTGAGGCCTGGGTGGGCAGGTGGTCCCTGTCTCAGGCAGGTGCTCATGGTCTGCATGGCGGCAGGATACGCCTCTTGTGAATGGTCAGCAGCCCCTCTCCAATCTCACAACCTGGCAGTTGGATCACTATTCTGACCATCCTTGCATACTGCTAATTGTACTTGCCTTTGGAAAATTTTAAGTAACAGAAAAAAGAACTGCAGAAAATAAAGAACCAAAATCATGGCTGTAAATAGGTGACCTTAGCTGGAGATGTGGCTTAAGAGACAGAGCACCTGCCAAACAAGTGTGAAGCCCTGAGTTCAAACCTGAGTACTGCCTAAAACAAAACAAAAGACAGACCCCAAAGCAAATGGATTAAACCTAACTAGTCAACTAGCTCAAAGGGTCAGCACTTAAAGTCTATTTATTTTTGTTGAAGGGACATTGGCAAACACTAGAAAAGTAGTCCCATTAAACCTAGACTTCCTGCATACTGTAGTCTGAACAGAGCCAGCTAGGCCATGCTTTTCTCACACAGGGAAGTAATCCCAACCAGACCTGTACCTCAGCTGTGCTATGTCACCCTTTCTGTGGTTGGTGATACTCTGTGGGCTCCCCTGAGGGTGGAGGTCCGAGGCTCTGGTTCTACAGTTGGCTAAGTGTGAACATTGCTTTCAGGCATAAACCATGGGCCTGTGATTGCTGGAGTAATCGGGGCACGAAAGCCTCAGTATGATATCTGGGGAAACACAGTCAATGTTGCCAGCCGCATGGAAAGTACTGGAGAACTCGGCAAAATCCAGGTAAAAACCAGTGGGGAAGCAACATGACCTAGGAGGAAGGACCCTCCCAGAGGAGAAGTGGCTTGGGCCTAACACTGGTCCCACCGCCCCTCAGAAGTGGTTCTAGCCACCTCACTCTTGACAGAAAGCAGGCATGTATGTGTCTTTTTATTTCTGAAGCTGTGGCTTTCCTCTGCTCAGGTTACTGAAGAGACATGCACCATCCTTCAGGGACTAGGTTACTCTTGTGAGTGCCGGGGCTGATCAACGTCAAAGGCAAAGGCGAGCTGCGGACTTACTTTGTGTGCACAGACACTGCCAAGTTTCAAGGGCTGGGGCTGAACTGAGGGCTTCTTGTGGTCAGTCTCCTTCCCTGAGTGAGCCAAGGAGAAGACTCAGCCCTGTGCCTATCATGACAGCATTCAAAGGTTCCGGCCAACACCACCTCCGGGCAGATGGCTGTGTGTGGCTTCTTTGGATTTGCACTAGAGGATTGCTCAGATCATACTTGAAGCAGCCACTGAGCTATGACAAGTGGTGGCAGCCAGAACCCCTGTGCTGTCACTCTTGCTGTATCTAGGTCATGCTGGCTGTGTTTGTAACTTTGAGAATTTCATTCCAGCATGGTGGGAAGATGACCTCAGAGCATGACCAAGACAGACATCCTGTGGCCTGTAAGCACGCACAAGGGAGACCAATGCTTTTGAGGTCAAAAGAGGGCTAAGCCAGGTTGTCTAGCATGGGGTGAAGTCTTCCTTCTCCTTAGCAGGTCCACCCATGGGATTTTCACATGGGAATTCTGGTAAATGGAGTTGAAAAGGGTGTTTTATATCAGCAAATAGTTTCAGACAGTAGAGAAAATCTCTTCTCTCTGGTGTATTATTTCTTTAACCACTGACTACATGTAAATAAAGACTACTGTCCACTGTCACTTTATGGGATTAGCCTGGCTAAGGGGACAGAGTTCTGAGGAACGTGGCTCACAGCAAGAAGGCAAGAAGCTTCCGGTAACTTTGACACAAACCTCCTGGATTTGTGTCAGTAAGTTCAAATCCTAGAAATAAGATACCTTTCAGCTCTTTTTGACTATGCATGCATTCTGAGCTCTCCCCAGCAGTCTTCAAATATGTCTTTTTTTTTTTTTTTCCAGCCCAGACTGGCCTGGATTTTATAATCTTCCTGTATCTGTCTTTTGAGTGCCACCACACCCAGCTTTTTAATCTTTTTTTTTTTAAAGTGGAAATGAGTAGAGTCTGTGTAGAGAGCCTGGACAACTGTGGTACTTCTTGCCTTTTCTTGAGTCTTCAGAGTTAATTCTGGAGAGCTTCAAAACGAGAAGGATCTGCTCAGCATGAGCATGTGTTGAGGTTCCTGTCCCAGGAGCCAACCCCTCATAAATGCTGAACTCTTCTCATTTATTCGAATGAGTCAAGGCAAAAAGCCAGCTTTATTTATAAAGCTTCAGTTCCATAGGAAGCTGAAAAAGCCAAGGTGAGAATGACCAAACTGCTTGTTCCTTTGGAACTGACTTCACTGCTGCTTCAGGACCAGAGCATCTCCAGGATCTCTAACACCACTGAACTTCACTACATATCTAGATGTCCTCCACAAACCTTCTGTAGTTATGCAGAAATCTTGCACAAAGGAGTCTCCAAATGAGTACACAAGGCTGTTTCTGCCTGGATGAGACGCCACCCTGGTTGCAGAGTGGAGTACAGCCAAGGGAGTGGAGGGGACAGAAACAGGACCTGCTTGTGTTATCCCATGGGACTTCATCAGCCTGGGGAAGGGATGCAGAACTGAATTTGCACCAAGGTGCTATGTGGGCTAGTGGCAGCTCTGATGTGCTGTGTGTAACTGGAACAGTATGCATAAATTATAAGAAGTCACCGTACAAAGGAATTTTAAGGCAAAAATGCTGGTAAGGGGAAGAAGCCTTGCTTAAGTTGCCTTTTTTACACATGCCCTTGTCACATGAGTGCTGGCTTCAGGTGAGCACTGTACTGAAATCTGTGCTCTCAAGCTCTAACAGGGGCCAGGGCTGTTTCCTGGGCTCCTGTGGGGAGTCAGGAGGGTTCCTGAAGCTGACATAATGGAGAAAGCGGTGCACAGCTCCTCTGAGTCAATGTATTTCTACTCTTCCAACATTCAAATTACTTTTTTCATTCAGCAACAGAAATCCCAGCTGGGAGTTTACAAAATAATCGGTTATTGTTCATGTGTTGTTCTTAAGTTTCCACTAAAGCACTGTGCTCAGATAAGAATATTTTGTAAGTTTTTAATGATCAGGTCAGAGTTTAACTGACTGTAAAAATCACATGTAGTTATTTTTTTGAAAATCCGTTTCTGAATTACCAAGTAATTTCTTTGCAGGTGTCATTTTGTTTTATGACAGGAGCAAATATTTTTTCTAACAATGACCTCTGTGGGTCAAGGACTTACTTAGAATTTCTAAGGTGGCCTAACTGACTATTGAAAGTTAACACCAGAAGTCTCTGGTTTATTTCATAAGGAAATTTCCCAATAGAAAAGATGATCATTCATGTATATAATAGGTCACTGTACAGAAATATGCTTTGAGATGGTGTCTGCTAATAGCTAGGATTTTTTTCTCTATATTGAATATTTATAGATTTGTAATAATTTGTTTTAAATATTTTATTTCATTTTCATAAACTGCCATTATTTGGCTGCTCTTTATACATTAAATTAGCAATATGGAAAACCTGAACATTCTAAGATGGTCTAAATTTAGGTATCTTTTTGGTATTCATGAACTTAAGTGTAACTAGATCAGATGGTGAAGAATAGGTCATTTCTTAGTATTTTAGAGATTAAAAATGAGATTCAAGAAAGACATGATAAAAATCTATTTGAACTGATTTTTTGGAATCTGTTAGCACAATATTTTAAGTAAGTTTTTAAAAAGATTAGGTTATCTTTTTTTAAGTTTCTTGAGAGAATCAATTTTCCTTTACCTTATTTGTTCTTAATCAATGTTAATCTTAACTCAAGAAAATATGAAATGGCTTCTTATCTGGGTATTTTATGAAGAGCTCTATACAAGGGTGTTAAATTTATTCACTGAAGAGGTTATATTCATCCCCCCCTTTTGGTTTTTATTTTAAAACAAGTTCTATTTCTAGACAGATTCAGAAAAATCACCACTGATCTCAGCTGAGTGACTAGTGACAGAAGGCAACATATCTCATGGTCTCTTACTTAAATGAACTGTTGGGCACCTGACTTTCATATTTCAGATAAAAGGAAGAGCTAATAATGCTCAGGGGCATGGAAACATAAGTGTTTTTTTTTTTTGGTGGTACTGGGGCTTACACTCAGGACTTCTTGCTTGCTACACAGGCTGCTTGAGCCACACTCCAGCTCAGCACAGCTGATCTTTGAGAAACAATAGAAACAAACTGTCATTTAAGCTTGGTAATTCTCTGTTGTATTCAAGGATGATTTAGTTTATCTTATTTGGTTCATCCTTTTGCTATAGTTCCAAATAACTGTAAAGAAATGAAACCCTCCCAAAAAAATCAGACATGTTATAGTGCTATGAATCTCCTAGTCTTCTCTCTTCTTTTTCTCTTTTCCTTTTTTTTGATCTCTCTTTTTTTCTTTTCCTTTTTTTTGTTATGTATGTGGGGGTGAAGAGGCACCTAATTACTACACATGAGGATATCATTCCCATCTGGTATGTTCTGTGCCCATTAGGAGCAGAACCATATTAGCAAATCCTAAAATTATTTTAAGTGTGCTTGTTTTCATGGTATAATGATGGGAAATCTCACTGAATGGGGCTATTTTAAAAAAAAGCTCCTTGCAGTCCAGTTGATAAAGCACAAGCAGCATGAGCACTATTCTGAAAGAACACTGCCCAGGTGTGGCAATAACCCAAAGCTATATGCCTTGTTCACAAGGGCCACTTTCTAAATAAATATCATCAAAATATTTATTCCACGTTTATGAAATAAATATTATGGAACTACCTGGTTATAATTTCTTTAATGGGGAGTGTGAAAAATAAAGGATTTCAGTTATTTTGAGAATTTGCTCCTTTAAGAGATGATCACAAAAAAGGGTGTCATGTTCTGGGTTTCTCAGACACAGCCTCCTCAAGGGTAACTTAGTTGATATGCACAATACTCCTCTGAGAGTTCCAGGCTCAGTTTTATTACTTAATAGAAGCCCAATCTCTGGAACATTAAAATTAACTGTTCCAAGTTTATAAAAACACAATTTATGAATAGTTATTATCTTCTGAAAAGCATTTCCAAGTTCAGAATGAAAAAAATATGTACATAATATATAATCAAATACCAGTTAGCTTTCGCTCCCATCAGGTCCACACTCAGCAACATCAGTCTTCTTAGGATCTTCAGGATCTGAAAGAAGACACCACTCAGCATTCTTTTCCCTTTTAATTAGAAACAGGAAGTGAAGATAAAGCTAGCACTGGAGCTGACAGCCCTTTCTACCACACTCAAGGTTAAAGAGGAGGTACATTATTACTAGGTTGTCATTTCAAGGTTTTTTTGGGCAAATGTGTGAAATCTATTAATTCTATAGACAAGATCAAAGAAAACAAAAAGTAATCTTATACCTTAAAAACACACAAAAACAAGTGTCACCTGAAGGGAAAGGTCTATATTCCTCTTACTCACAACAACCTCCCAGTCTTCCAGAGAAACAGCACATACCTTCTGTTAAATCTATGAAGCTGTTTCCTACGATGGAGGAAGGAATGGAAATCCCCATTGCTTTTCGAACTCCGTACATGCTTACAATATCACCTGGAGTCACTTGCTGTGCAAGTTCTTTAAGGTTGTTGGTCACTTGTTCAGCTGGAAAGAAAGAGAAAAAAAAAAAGTTCCAGCTACCAAAAAGCGATTTCTTTATTTTATTACTTTTGGCGGTACTGGGGTTTGAACTCAGGGCTTGCACTTGCTAGGCAAGTGCTCTACCACTTGAGCCAGGCCTCCAGCCCTAGATAATTTTTTAAAATCTAAAAGAATATGATGTCAGCAGCACTCTTCAGTTACTCTACAGTTCTATCACTACTCAGAAGATCCCCTTCACAGTCCACCTCCACCCCAAACCCCGCTGACTTTCCCCTCACTGGAGGTGTAATGTACCGAGGTGCATCTCTCTGTATGAGGGACCCAAAAGACAGATCATGTTGGGAGGGGGCCTGGTGCTCAGCCGCTCATTCTGCGCATCCTGGAGCTCCTTGAGTAATCTCGTGGTCTCGTCGAGCTTCCTCTGGAACACCTCAGCCTCTGTAATAAGAAGAACACACTGAAGAAAACATGGGGCACACCTGTGTTTCATCCTGTGTGGTAATTTGAGTCCTGTGCTTCAGGCTCTGCTACTCACTGGCTAGCCTCCTCCCTTCAAATGAAACCAACAGCACACCCATGCTCTTATTATTCATTTAACCTGATTAGCCACGGTTTTCCTATGGCAAATGGCTGGGTTAGCTGGCATGGAGGTGGCAGTAAGTCTTGACTACTTGTCCTGTGTAGTGCTTAAAGCAACCTGCGGTCTGAGGCCCTCACCTTCAGAGTCAAACACTTCAACTGGAGCACCGAAGTTTGTTACTGCTTTTAGTGCTGTGAGTCTGTCCTGAGTGCTGGAGTCCAAACGCCCTGCTGGCTCTACTTCTATAATCTGCTTCAAAAGAAAAGAAGGCAATTATTTGAGCTTGCTAAGTCATGATAGCGTTGAGTAAAAATTAGTAAGACAGCTTGTGTTTATAGGCAAAGTTATTCTTCCACTTATTTATTTTGGAGTCATAATTTTGATGGCCACCAAAAATGTCTTCCAAGAACACCCTTTTAAAATGCTATTCTCAAATTCTGGCAAAAAGTGACCATAAATCCACAATTCTCTGTAGTGTGTTGATGTCTTAGGCAGTTCGAATCATTTGCTTCACCAAGTATTAAGAGACTTGTCACTGCCTCAACTGTGAAGCACTTTTAATGATTATGACAATGCCTTATATTTTGCACAGTTAGAGGCAGATATTTCAGCCCAGCCAGTCCACACTTGTGCATTCCTATACATCTGTAGCATAAGAAGCTTCCTGGGTTTCCTCCATATCCAAAGTTAGGCTGTCATGGAAGAAACAAAATCTTAACAAGGGCAGAATTTATTTTTGGAATTGTAAGACTCAGAGTTTCCATAACCTCAACACTTCTTTGTAGGAATGCATAGACTAATAAGTAACCAAAAGTCAATTGTTCCATTCCTACTTGGGCATTGCACTCCAAGGTCAACCAATTTGAACACCTGACTCCTTCATGTACAAATGAGCTTAAAGTGCTCTGTGCAGAAAAAAGTATATGGTCGTGCAACTTGGCACTAGTATGTATATGTGGCTCACCATTTCAGCTGGATGCTCACAACTCTACTCAAAAGTCTTTTTATTTCTTATCCATTTTCTTTTCCCATTCTCAAGATTTCTTTCACTCTCACTCCCTCATTAAGCACATGACCTTGCTTCATTCCTCTTCCCCTGAAAACAACATTGCTGCGTAAATACCATCTACATCTTTAACTACTTGGTCCCACATGTTGATTTTTCTTCCCCCTTATGTCTGTCTAATGTTTAACCTCTCTTTAGCCCAGTTTTTCTAGCCATTTAACTCCCTGAAATCTACAATTTGCCCCCATTTTACTGAGATGGCTCTGATTAAGGTGACAAATTACTCTTATAGGTCTCTTACTAGGCTTTTCTGCAGCTCTGACATTGCTGCTCTCCTCTCCTGCTCAGTATCCGCATGGGTTTCCTACCTTGCTCAATTACTGGTTTTCTCCACGGTTCTGTTTCTTTCCTCATGTTTACCCTGGGCAGCAGCTTCACTCTATTGACTGAACCTCTACCTTCACTTCTACAACTGCCAGATCCACACTGTGGCCCAGATCTTGGAGTTCCAGGTTCACATGTCCAAGAATGTCCCAAGTCACACTCATCACATCTGAAATGGAATGTGACTTTTTTGCCTGTCAAGGTGTGTTCTCTTTCCTGTAAGTCCAATGTGAACTAATTAATACTATCACCTACCTCACAGAACAGGTCATGTCAATTTTTCTCTTACTGCATTTCCGAAATCAATATTCTCTTCCTTTATGTTGGTATGGCAGTCATTTTTCTTTTTGCTCAGACAAGTCTCAACTTTTCAGTGATCCCTTCTCTTCCATATTTTATCATAGTCCCATCTTGTAGGATAGAATCTCAGCCTCTTAGCACTGTACAGAGAACTCTTTATCACTGAGTTTCAACCACACAGCCTCACCAGCTGTCCTCTTCTACACAGGGATCCTGGATCATTTGCTTTCTCAGCTCTCAATTTGCCATAATTTGCTCAGTTCTGCCCGTTTCACACACCTGACCCTTCTTGCTTAGAGAGCAAATAACTCTTCATCTAGCTAGTCCCAGAACAGTGAGTTCTTTACCCTGGGTGCTGCACATGTGCCATTTACACTGCAAGGTAACTGGTTTGGACTCCCTTGTTTATGTGCCTGTCTTCTACACAAGCTACTGCTAAACTTCCAAAGGGAAAATAAGTTCTTTTATCACAGATGGATACTCAATGAATATTTTAATTTTAAAATAAATTTTTTTGTCATTTAGGTATTTTAGTTTTTCCTCAATTTAAAGAAGAATAATTTTGTCATAATAAATATTCTTATTTACAAGAATAAAATATGGGCTCGGACCGTGGTTCAAGTGGTAGTGTGCTTACCTAGCAAGCAGCAAGGCCTTGAGTTCAACTGCCAGTACCACCAAAAGAAAGAATAAAATTTAATCACCTCCATTTCTTTTGCTGTATCAAATGTCCTGGTCTGGCCTTCGTCTTCAGGTGATGACTAAAGGGATAAAGAAAAGCAACCTTTTATGAAAACATATAGTAAAGGCAAATAACAAGAAGAATAGGAAAAGTGTCAAGTTTTGTAGCAAGATAAAAGGAATGACTATGAACTATTAGAATAGAACTTTGCAAATGAGAATGAATTAAATAAAATTATTAGCATTTGAGAATATTTTGAGGTGATGCTGAGACCTGGGCCTGATCCAAATTCCATACACATGTTCGAGAAGGTATTTGGCAAATAGCATATAATACTTAACTAAATGGAGTCTTTTCACAAGGTTAAGACTTTGAGAAGACGACAGGAAGGAACTCTAGAGACTGCTGGGCATTAACTGAGCAGTGTTCTGGGACAGCAAGGGATTACTACAATATGTAAATGACACAAAGAATGTGGATGTTTCCCACAACCTACTTTCCCAATTCTACTTGTCCGAGAAAAGGTACACATAAACAACACACAAATGCATCATGGGCATCAATGAAGAAACATTACCTTTCTTTCAAAGTCTGTATTGTGATTTAGCCAATTTCTAATTTCTAAAAATTATAATTTATTTTTTATATAAAATTCTTATTTTCTAGTATAAATTCTGAGAAGAAAAAGTCCTGGATGAAAGGGCAGAAAAATCACATTTTGAAACATATTGCCATATTCACCAAATAAAAGTAATTCAAGGGTTGGCAGAGTGGCTCCAGTGGTAGAGCATCTGCTTAGCAAGCGTGAGGCCCGAGTTCAATTCAAGCTCCAGTACCACAAAAAAAAAAAAAAAAATTTTTTTAGTTAAACTATTAATTAACTCAGATTATTTGATAGGAAGGGTATAGTATACGTATTTTTGAGTTGATATAAAATTTAGTATTTTTCAGATCAAATGAAGAAAGCAGTTGATGTGCTAGCATTTTGTAGCAGATCACTGAAGGTGAGGCACTGACCCCAGCTTAGTTGACAGGGCCACCTGAGGAACAATCACCATATAGGCAGTTCTACACAGGGACAAAACATTGCAGTTACAGACACCACTAAGAATTATAACTTTCAAGAGATAAGGGCTCCTCTAACTATGATGACAAGAATGTTCTGGAGGTCAACACTCTTCTATGGCAGTAGGAACACTTTCTGGCTCTAATCACTGGGCCAAGACATGAATTATTCTAGATTATGAACTGTCTTGAACTGAATTAGAAGGAGTTTTCTACCAATGCGCTCTTACTACACAATAAGGATAAGAGTTGTCATTTATTATTTTAGCCAACCTAGTTTCTAGTTTGTAACACTTTCCTTTTTTTCTAGGATTTGTAGTACCCACTACCTTCTGAGTTGTAACCCCCAGTTTTGAGTCCCCAAGATCAGAAAAGAAAGGCAATGTGTGGCCCTCATGGACTGTAGCTATGTTATTTGTTTCTGTTCACTGTCCTCCACCATGGCCCCCACCCTGCTGGCTGTCTTTCCAGGGAAGTGGAGTCTAGCTGTCACAAAGGCTAATCCTGGGTTTCATAACACTGAGTGACTAATACTTTAGAGCCAATAATAAACTACTCTGTTTCTTTAGCAGCATTCTTACCGTTTCCAACTCCTGCAGGGTCCTAGAATGCCCTCCTTTTGTTAAAACATCCAGCAAACTATCTGCCATAACATATGGATAATCTTGGCATGTTGCCAAAAACTCATGGATGCTGAAAGACAGAGAGTTGGAAAGTCACTTTCACATAATCATTCTCCATTGGCTTAAAATCCTTTTGTTGTCTTTTCCATCAGAAGCCCTTGGTTTATACAACACAATGTAAAACTTTCTGCCCAGAAGCAACACTGCATTTACAGATCAACCAGTGATACATGTGTCATCATCAGAGAATTAAACAGTATCAAGAACAAAGTGAAAATAAAATGTTTCTGAGGGCTGTCCAAAAAATCTAAGTCCTCAGTGATGGTGCCCAGGCAGTTCTTTGGGCTTCTTGCCACTCCCCTTAGCGAACTCATTCGCCTCAAGCTAAAAAAACTCTCAGTCATATCTCCACTTGAATGTCTAGGAGGTATTGCAACCTTGAAAACTGAAAACAATGGACCTTCTCCCAGAGTGGAACTCTAAAACTGTCTGCTTTTCAGTAAATAGCAACTACATCCTTTTAGGCTAAGTCTGAAAACCCTGGAGTTATCCTGACTTGTCTTTCACACACACACCATTTCAATCAGTACAAAAAAGAAAAAAAAAACAAAACAAAAAATCCCCAAACAAAAACCTTACTAATTACTGATTCCTTCTTTCTCTCTTCTGTTTTTTGGTGGTACTAGAGTTTGAACTCAGGGCCTTATGCTTGCTAGGCAGGTGCTCTACACCTTGACCATGCTTCCAGGCTGGTGTAGGCGATCTTTGAGAGACAATAAATAGAAATGAACTGTCATTTAGTCTTGGTAATTCCCTGAGATACCCAAGGATGATTCAGTTTTTTTATCTGGCTCAACCTTTTGCTACAGTGGCTTGAACCATGCATGCCCCAGCCCCACAACCCCCTTCTTTGCTTTAGTTAATTTTCCAATAGGGGCTCCCATTTTTGCCTGGGTGTCTGCCTCGGACTGCAATCTGCCTGCCTATCCACCCCACCCCTCCACCACAGCTGAGGTTACAGACATGTGCCACCATGCTTGGCCTGTTGGATGAAATGGGGTCTTTGCCTTTCTCCAAAGCACTGTCATCACCTGAAGGGAGAGCCTGGGTTATATCACTATTGTGTCCCTGACTAATGGAATCCCAGCATCTAGAAAATGCCTGGAACATAGTGGGCATGCACTGCCTATTTGTGGAATGTCCAGGTGAATAATCCAGAAAGAATGTGTTCCAGCTGGTGAGGACAAAGGACATAAATGGACAAAGGACAGCCAATCCACACCTACTTACATGCAAGTGATCAGAGTACCCTTTTGTCAGAAAACAGGGGACTAGTTAAGCTACAGGGAAAATTCAAGCTCAATGCCCACCCTGTGCCATGGTCCTAGTAAATCATGAAGCTATCTCATTATGTTGATACATAATGGGATACAAAGTGCTCAGCATCCTAACCAGGAATACAGAAATTATTGACACTCTGAGACGTACAGTAAGGAATGGTTGAGAGTAAGTGCAATGATCTGATTCCTGATGGCCAAACAGGCCCGCATGTCAATTGCTTTAGGAATCATATCCCACATCTCATAGCTTGGGGATAATGTGCTATGAGCTCCATAACTGACTGAGTTTGAAATATAACTCACTGATATGTAAAATTTTATAGTAGAACAGTGGGTACCAATCAACATTTTAAGGTAAGAAACTCCTAAACACTAGTTATCAGCTGAGGTTCACAGCACCATAAAAATGACATTTCTATAAGAAAACATTGCAGATGCCATTATCAGGGAGATATGTTTTCTCTTTAAAATATTTCATTTATATTGAAGGATCATAATAAATATGGGTCTATTATTGTCCATTAAAAATTACTGGAAACATCCACTATTTGGATAACCTTGTAAGTCTATCTATAAATCACATACATTAACATTTTAGAAGAATGTGCTCGGCATGTTAACAGTGACTCACCTGAAATCACTTGGAAGGCCAGAGTCTTCCCCATAGGTTGAGTAGATTAGATCAGAATCATCTTTGCTGATATTTGCAAATGTGGAGTCATAATGTGGGGCATAAGAACTGTAGGGTCCATAATTCAAGTATAACACTATTGAAAAGATGAAATACTGTATTCATATTATTGAATTTATGTCAATGTATTTTCTTATTAAAAGACAGCCCTTTCAAGAGCTAGGTGCTGGTGGCTCATGCCTGTAACATCCCAGCTAACTGGGATGCAGAGATTCGAAGGACTGCTGTTCCAGACCAGCCTGGGCAAAAAAGTGTACAAGACCTCATCTCAACAGAAAAAAAGCTGGGCATGGAGTGTATTCCTGTCATCCCAGCTACAGTGGGAAGTGTAAAATAGGAGGATCACTGTCACTGGCCTCGGCAAGAAGCAAGACCCAATCTCCAAAATAACCAGAGCAAAAAGGGCTGGAGGCATGTAGAGCACCTGTAAGCACAAAGCCCTGAGTTCAAATCTCAGTACCACCACCAAAAAAAAAAGATATTTCCTTGTTCTTTGACTTTTTTTACTGACTGGTCCAGTCATCCCCAGCATTCTTAGGGAATGGGTTCCAGGACTCCCATGCAGTAAACACAAGGATGTTCAAGTTGCATAAAATGGCATAATATTCAACTCATCCTCTACTATACTTTACCTAACGTAATGTAAATAGTTGCTATATTGTATTGTTTAGGGAATAAGAAGAAAAAAGTCTGAGTTGAATCCAAAGATGCAGAGTCCACAGACAGAGGGAGCCAACTGTACCTGTGAAGCTGTAACTCAAATGAATTATTCCCCACAAAAGAGAGAGAGAAAAAAGAACAAAACTTGCTTTCAATACTAATACCTGATTTTATGGTTTCTTTAGAAATGAATAAAATAGCTAATTGATCCTGCAAAAATATCCCCTAGAGAGCTAGTGAATAAAGCAATGAGTACTAATCACACTTCCTTTCCCTAACTCCCTGAAACAGAGAGAAGTGAAAAAACATGACAGCTATGTGGGAGCCTCACCTGGGGTTACTTTGTTCCTTTTATCCTCTTTGAACCCCTGTAATGTATTCACTCCAGACTGAAGTCTTCCAGTCGTCATTCCCAGTCTTACAGGGCAGTAGCCTGGTTCTAAGACATAAAACCAAGCACAATGAAGGAGACACGCAAGGAAATGATCCTCAGGGTACGCTGGGTGCTTTCATGTGTATTACTTCATGTTAGCCACACCACATGGAGGAGGTTGCATAGTCCTTACTCTATCCATTTTTAAGAGAAGAAAATATGATCTTAGAAAGGCAGGAATGTAGCCAAGATAAAAAATCTGGACCATCTCATTACATTGTACTGCTTCGTGGAATTCTTTATAGTCAGGTTACACTTGACCTAAAGGTAAGATTCTCATTAAAAACAAAACCCCAAAACACAGATTTAATGGTAAGACAATGGAGATAAACCAGTAGAAAGGTTAGTGAAAGACTTAAGAAAGGCAAAAACAGTCAGATTAAAGACAAACGGATTAAGCACAGATCAATGTCTACGGAAGATCTATTTTTACTACAATGTGAAAGAGCCTTAAAAAATGTGATTATAGTAAAGCAGGCAACGAAGTCCTTACTGAGACTTGGAATATGTGATATAAGCAGAAATCATGAGGGAGGCACCTAGGAGGATGGAAACATGATCTCCACCAGTTTCAACAGAGAAAGTGTTTTCTCTCCTGAAAAAAGTTTTGCTTTTTATAATACCATCATTGCAACAAAGGCTACCACCACAAGAAATCAGTGCGATAAAAGCATGTGTAAGAAGCCTCGAGCATCTGCAACAGATCTGCCCCTCTTCAGTGAACAGCCTGCAGTTTGGTTTCCTAATGTGTACTGGAACTCCACTCCACCAGGGTAGGTAAAGCTGAGATAGGCAGGGCAGTGTGTTCCACATTAAACCACAAAATGTCCTGCTAAGGGAGCAGACATGCATGGAATCAAGTCAACTCTGGCCATATCTGATCAGAGGAGCTGGAGAAACAGGCACATCTCAGGGTCTAAATAAGTTAGTTGCATTTCATCACCAGATTCTCTACACTAGAAAAAGCAGTATTTTCAGTTCTGTAGCATTTTCTGTGACTAAGAGCCATACAAAATTTTACTATGAAAAGTACACATGAAGTTAATAAATGAGTATGCTTTGAAAACAGCACTAGCTCCTTTTCTTTTAATAATGTTTATTGAACACTAATAGGCTTGCCCTTTCAGGCTTTACATGCATCCAAGCGTCTTCCCCCTTCTCTTCAGTTTCTTAACTGTGGGTGGCTCACTGCTATTGCGCCTCCCCCGTACTTGTGGGATCACACACCTAAAACAGGCTGGGAAAGGGTCTCTCTAAGGAGAGACTCTCTCCTGATTACTTAAGCGCGATAGGGTGAGGGGCACCTTCTTATGATAAAATATAAAGCTGCTCATTATAGTATTTACTCAGTGAGGCAGCCTTCTGTGAATTTTTTCTTTTTTGGTGTGGTTGTGCCCTCGTCTTCTTTGCACCCTAGAGTTTGCAGGGAAAGGGACCTGTGTCTTGTTTTTGCTCATTTATATCACAGTTAGATTCACGTCATGGGCTCCAAAAGTGACTTGCCCACAGGGAACAATGCAAATATTGGAGACTATTTCACTGAAGTTGGAGAGAATCCTGTTTTACAATCCTGTATCCCAATAACTCGTCTCAAGTGACAATAGTGAAACTGGGTATAAATCAACAGTTAAGGGAAGTTGGCTACCTGTCATGAATGAAATAATTGGTATCTAAGCCAAGTTCTCTGTGGATGATGCAGTATTTAAGACAAGTAACACTACTGGAAAAAAGAGAGGAAAGTGTCATTTAATTTGCAGGTTTGCTGCTGTTTTAAAAATGGTCACCCAGGTATTAATGGGTTTGTGAGTAGTGAAGTGTCCCGCCCAAAAGTTCATATATTTAAGTTTTGGTCCTCTTAGACTGGTGGTGCTATTTTTGGGTGTAATGTAAGGCCTATTATTCTTAAGAAGTTGGTTTTATGGGTGTGTTGTTTGTATCACATTGGGTATATTTTTCTTGTCTTTCTGTTGCTTCTCTGCTCCTTCTTTTCTATTTTTTTGCTTTCCTGGTCTGTCATCGGAGGTGAGCAGTCTCCTAACACAGCCCCCACTGCGATGATGTTCCTGCTCAACCATGGCCTCAGAAATCAAAGGAGCCAAAGACCGGACGGAATCCTTTGAGAACTGTGAGACCGAGATATCCCTTTCTCTGCTTTAAGGTGTGTTTTGTTGTAAGGTGAGTCTTGGTTTGTAACTTGGTGACACTTTTTGATCTGACTTGACTACATTTTTGTTTTTCCCAGGTATATCGTTTTGACCACCGGACACATCATCAACCATTCAAGCGTCGTCATCTGGATGCCTACCTCCTACAATGGGATCCACCGGAATGAAGAAGTCCCGAATGTTGTTGTTCCATCTGGTTTTTCTTCTTCAAAATTCAGCACTGCAAGTGACGCAAAGCGTCCCATCATGGAATAAAGTTTTTATATATTCCACAAATATATACAAACCTTATTGTTTCATCACTAACTAAACTTCAGAGGTACCTATCACCATAACTCAATGGAGCTTGTCACACCCGTGCCTTCTATGTTTAAGTACAGGTCCCTGATGGACCTAACAGACGCGGAGGGTAGGGAGTTGTCAGCAATTTTAAAAAAAGCTGTACTAGGTCATCGTGGTGTCTGCCTAATTATCAAAAGAAGGAGGGAGACTTAAGGATGGGGAAGTGAGTGACTGCCCAAAGTCAAAGATAAATCCACTTAGTTTTAAAACCAATGTACCTCCACAGGGTATGATTTCAAAAGACCAGAATATAAATGTTTTCTTTAATAAGTTTAAAAATAAAGCAATGCTGCTTCACTTTCTAATTTTTAGAGCATGTTAATTTCACTAGAAAGAAAACAACTTCAATCATACATACTTATAAATCATGTAATTATTTTGTGAGTGTTCCAGTGATGAAGACCTCTACAGCAGATACTGTTTTTAAAGTACACGGGAACTTTAAAAACTACTGAGTTTGGAGGCCCCAAGACAGTGAGGAGGCAAGGAAGTCCCTCACCTGACTGTTTGCTAGCCGCCGGGTCAGCTTCCCCCCAGACTCCTGGACAGCCACGGTCAATCTGCTCCTGCTCCCCTTTTCTGAGTTGTTGCTTCTCCACTTATCTTCAAGTAACATCTCTGTCTTTCTGAAACACACAGTAGTACACAGTTAAAAAAATATATACTATATACAAATAAGACAAAAACGTTAAAAGTTAAATTCCAAAATGAATTATAAATACACTGGAAACATTCTCTACTCCTGTCATCAATTACAGTAGTGACCTAGGGAAAGCTCTAATCATGCAGAGACAAGGCAAACTTTCATGGCTACTTCCCTCCTTTTATTTTTTTGGTACAGTGTTAGTTGTTTTAAATGTTTTTCTGTGGTAATCTCACAAAGATGAATTCTACTTTAGACATAACTTTGAAGGAGGAGGAGGAAACAATTTATTTGAACTTCAATTTAAAAAATGTTTTAATCTAGTCAGGCACCAGTGGCTCACTGCCTGTAACCCTAGCTACGTGGGAGGACTGAGATTTGGAGGCTCATATTGAGGCCAGTCTGGGCAAATGGTTTATTAAACTCCAATCTCCAAAATAACCCGATCAAACGGACTGGAGTCATAGCTCAAGCCAAGTAGATATGCCTGCTTTGTGAGCTCGAAGCCTTCAGTTCAAACCCCAATCCCACTAACACACATTCAAAATATGTAAATCTAGATCCAGAAGCGAAGAAATTTGTCACAAGTTACTGTTCCTTTGCAATATGACAGTAGAAATCCCAAATCAAAACCCTCCCCACAGTTAACAGTGAGGTTGGTAGTGGGCAATTAGAGATATGTCAGCAAGCATGGTATGTGGACTGATTTGCTGTTCAGTCATGCTGGTGGCTTCCTGAAGGACCAGTCAGTAGTTCTTTACTGCTCATACCAGATGCCATCTGTGGGAAAACATGCAGACTCTTTGGGACACCCTTATGGTTTAGGAAGAGCTTCAAGGTGCTCATTCCTTTCTCTTCATGGAATGAGGTGACAAAATACTCATTTTTTTCTTAAGCAAACAGTTCTACTTAAACAAACTCCCTGACAACAAGAGTCCTTAAAGATAACTGACTAGTTTTAAAACTGACATACTGGTGAATTTATTCTTCCCATGCCAGGCTCTGAATCTATACCTTCCCTCTCTTACTAAAAATATAGTTAACTTTCATATTCCAAAATTCCTTACTTTCTGTTGTCCTTGTTGGACTTTTGAAGGCTGGTGCTTTCAACATCTCCAGAGTCTTCTCTCTCTCGTGCCAGCAAGCCACTTTCCTCCCCACTTTTGTGAAGCATCGGTTCTGTCTTTCTGTTTTCGAGTTTTTTTTGCAAGTCTGCCATGAAGTCTATGCTTTGCTTTAGACTTCTGAATTCTTTCCTAAAAATGTTCAAGAGTATTCTTATTGTATGGTTGTCACTGAGTTTTTTGGGTAATATGTGTTTTCTCCATAGGACTTTGCACTTATCCTGTTGTTAAGTGGGGAAGAAAACAATTACACACAATTATTACCAGAGAAAATGTTATTATTGAGGAACCAGGATAAAGTCTATTCCTTAATACAGATCATTTCCAATTGTAAGAAAAAGCTTTACAGCTTATTGTACCTCCAGAAAGTTAACAGAGAGAAAGTGTGAATTGAAGACTAAGTGTTAGACTGGCTTATCTTTTTGAAAACTTAAGAATGATAAAGAATTTAAAACCTGGAGCATGTGAAGACCTTTATGCTCTGGTCTCCTATGGTGACCACACTGATAACTTTGGTCTTTTGTTGTGTGGGAAAACAACACGCCTTGGGGAAGAATAAATGTCTGCTAGTAAGCTCCTTTCTCAGAAGCATAATGGTTCTCACTAACCAGGGAAGTCTTGTTTGTATTTCATGAAACGTATGCTTAATTTTCCACTGGAATAATGTGCTATGAAATTTTCATTAGGGTCAAGGGCTTGAAATTTCTGAGCAAATTTGCTCAGTGGCTACTTGGCCTTCAACCCTGAGTTGTCACTGGATAAAACATGAGTGCAGCCTCTTTAAGGCTTCACTATGACATCAGAACAGACTTGGGTGGAATAAGAGAAACTGGAAAGTCTGTAGGCCATTCAGCCCAGAAACACTAAATGACTCACCTAACGGCACAGAAACAGTAACTTACGCCTCTCGTCACTCACCTTTCTTCATCACAATAAGCTCCCATTAGTGGTGCAGATGGTGAGATTCCCAAGAACATGGGTCTTGCTAATCTTACTGGATTTTTAAAGGAACTATAAAGCTACTAAAGTGATCTATTTGACTCTATATGAATAAAGACACTGGTAGGAGAGAGAAAATAAAAGTGTGTAAATTTATCATCAAGAAAGGGACAGTGTTAATGGGGTTTACCATTCCATTTTTTTTTGAGGATGATATATTTTAGTAAAATGGAATTATACTGAAAAATAATTTGGTAAAAAGTTTTTTTTTTGGCCAATAATCATTTGCTCTCCATATCATTAAAAAATTCTTTTTTTTTTTTTGATGGTACTTTTTTTTTTTTTTTTTTTGAACCTAGGGCCTGGCATTTGCTAGGCAGGCGCTCTACCACATAAGCCACTTTCCAACTCTTTTTGCTCTGGTTATATTGCAGACAGGTCTCGCTTTCTGCTCAGGCTGGCCTAGACCACAATCACTCTATTTTAGGCTTTCTACTGTAGTGGGGATGACAGGCACATACCATCATGCCTCGTTTTTAATAATTCTAATGTGTAACAAATTTAATGATTTAGTTAAAAACCTACAACTGGACACTTACGATTTCCAAATTTCCTGGAAACATTAAATAAATCTCTTTAGGAACCTCTAATTTACATCTTTAGGACAAGTTCCTAGAAGTGGAGGGAATAAGTATTTTTAAGGCTTTTGATGACTGCCAAACTGAGTTCTAGAAAGGGCTTTTTTTTTTTATATCAATTTTTATTAGTGTTTGAGAGTTTCTCTGAATCCTTAACAAACTGAATGGTATCATTAAAACAAAACAAAAAAACCCAATGAATGATTTTAAAATCATGTCTTATTTTACTACATACTTTGAAATATTCGTGAGTTTGGTTATCTCTATAACTTCATTGGTAACTTATTTCCCCTTTGTAAGTCACTTAGGTCATGTCTTATTTATCTCCATATCCCTAGTACCTGACAAAGGGTGCTCCATATGGCCACTCCATAGCTACTCAATGGCTTAACAAATGGGCTTAGGTTACAAAGTTCTCAGTAACTTTTTAATTTCTACTCTATAAATTTTGTAAAGCAGAAACTAATAAGAACATTTAGGGATTTTTAAAAAACATAAACATAGTTAAAACAATTCAATTAGAGAAATTTTTCTAAATTTAGAAGTGAGTCAAGAAAAAGTTTAATTTTATTTTGAAAGCAATGTGTTCTTCTTTGGTAGTTAAAATGTCTCCAAGTAAGCATGCTCTTTACTTGGAGAGCATCCTCAATTTTATATTCTTACATGACTAAAAATGCTGATTCTTTGACATTAAAAGAGCTAACTTTTGTTTTTTTGAGACAGGGTCTTAACTAGGCTAGGCTGGCCTTGAAATTCTAGGCTTAAGCCATCCTGCCTCAGTCTTCCAATATAGTTAACTTTCATTGAGTGCTTCCTTCTCTATGCACCAGACAACCTTATGAGGTACTATTATTACCCCCATCCCACAGGAAGAATGCTAAGAAAGGTTACTGGCACAAGGTGACACAGCTTCTAAAAGGCAGGGCTAAGACTTGAACCTTGATTGGTCTGATTCCAAAGCCCACTGCAAAGAAAACACTATTTGTACTACAATGCAGCATTCTACCCAAGTATTTATTTAGGAGATCAATTCATTCTTCACTGTTGTAAGGATCCCTCCCATCCAGGGTGGAGAGAACAGTCAACAGGAAGCTAGAATACAGGGTGGGTAGGGCTCAACAGGAAGAGATCTGAAAATAAGGAACACAACAGGGAAGGAAAGAGAGGGATAGTGGAGAAATTTACTTTCTGTGCTTCCAACCTCCCTACTCCAAGTAAAATCCAGGAGAAACTGGAATCTTTTTCTTGTGATATTAGCTACATTACTTAAAGAAAAGAAAATGGTGGTAAATCAAAGTTTGATAAAAAGTATTAGACATCTCCCCCCCAACTCAATATACATATTTGGAGTGAATGAAGACTACATTTTGCTGAATATACTTTTAATTCATGCTAGAACTCACCTTGAAGATCACAGAGTAAGCCCTTTCTTCTTTATGGGTGCGAGAACTGGAGCCCAGTGGGTTAATTGATTTTCCCAGGTTCCACAAGTTAGTGGGAGCCATCTCACACCAGAACCCAGACTTTGGGATGCCAGTGTCACCCTCAATTAATTTCCCTAAAGTAGTCTCTAATTAGTAGGTTCATCTTCCTCAGAGCTGTGAGAAAAACCTCAAAAGGTGACTTGTGAGTTCTCATTTTTCCCAACAGATGTGTAGTGATGACCTTGGTTTACCTTCAAGTCTTTTATCAACTGTCAGTGAACAGCATGTATTTTTCTGCTACTATCTATGGTATTAAATGTTTAAACTCTCTCATGCAGCTTGTTTAATGTTGGTACCTCTGCACACATTTCTCTCACTTCAAATGCCTATTTTATGTACTAATTCTTGTCTTTCAGTGAACAGCCTACTCTTGTGAAGCCTTGGCTTTGGGACAGCTTCAAATTATTTCTCACTTGTATTTTTTGTTTCTTTCTACTATAAGTAGCTGTGCTTTACCAGAAAGTACAAGAGTGACCACAACATCAAATTCTATCACTACAAAGGGAAACAGAGAACACTCCTCCTAAATTCAGATTATTTCTTAAATAGAAAGATTATGCTTTCTACAGCAAAATAAGTCTATCTGCTCACTATCAATTGAATTGGCAATTCCAAATGAAAATCTTACTGCCTTAAATTTCTTTTCTTGACTGAATTTTTTCCAACTTTTTTTTTTTTTAACTACTTTAATATGAGCTGTCAGTAAGACAGAATCAACGCTATAGTGGATTTACATCTCTATAACAAACACAAGGATATAGATTTTATGGTAATTATTATTTGTGACAAAGACAGTTTCCTTTACCTGGCTAAGAATTTTCATCCCTGAGTGCAACAGCTTCTTTGCAGCTTTATAATAAATGGTCTCTGGTTTGTTATAAATCATGGCATTAGTACACATTAGTTTGAAGTTATCCTACAGAAAGAACATTAAGAGGGAAAAACGTATTAGAACAAAACAACCTCGTTACACCTAGTTTGAAACCATATAGCCCCTCTAAAATTAAAAAAAAAACAAAAAAAACTCTGTATACTAAACAACACTAATAGTAATTTATTAAGTTTCAAGACTCACCAAGATACTTATGTGTTCCTAAATTCTTAAGCATTTTTATATAGTATCTGCATATAAACTTTGAATCCAGAATGAAAGTTTTAACAGATTTCTTCAGTATAATCTTACTGCACACAAAAATAATTTGAAGAAAACAATCTGAGTTCATGTAATTACAAATATTACTCTTAGTTTTAAAAGAAATATTTTATGCTTCCATTTATGAATTAAATATTTTATTTCAAATTTTGACTGAAAATTTGGAACAGTGTTAAATTACCATAATATTTTCTGCCAAATTCAAATTAACTGAGCAAAAAATGTTAAAACATTTACAATCTTTTAAAGTGTTTAGACATTATCATAAATCAAACATAATTTGCAGAAAACTGCAAAATTATTCTAACATGAAACAGACCATGCAACCTCAAGTACTTAAAACATGTCATTGGCCAAATTATCAGAACTATAATTTTGGCTTAAATTTCAAAGTATGTATATGTGCTGAAGCACTGAAGCCCACTGCATTTTTTTCATGGATATAGGCTGGAGGCAGGTCTCAAGTGGTAGAGTTCCTGCCTAGTAAGCATGAAGTCCTGAGTTCAACCCCCTGGTACCACTAAAGGAAAGAAAAGAAAGGAAAAGAAAGGTTTACATCTATAAAGTGATTGTGCCAAAACCTTACTTGGTTAAAACAATAATAAATCCAAAAAAAGAAGAACTGCCCCCACAAACTCCTCCAAATTCAAAACAAAAACATTCAAATTCCACTACTTAATAGTGATGACAAGCTTAGGACACTTAAATAGAACCAAAATAGCATAGTAAGTTATGTAAGAATACTGATCCAAGGGCCACAATAAATGCGTTATTAAATTTAAAATGTATAAAGTATATATGGATCTTTAATTCTGGCTAAGTTACTCATCAATCAGGATTTTGCTAGGTTTTTCTAGGTTTGTAATCTGTTAAAAGCTATGGAATTATGCTTCAACTATGTATGTGTATATGTATGTACACACACACACACAAATTTTCATATAATTTTAGTAGGTTCCTAGTTCCCCCAATGGCTGATCCATAGCTAGTCAGAGGACCCAGGATAAGGACTTTTGCTTTAAGTATTCTGAAAAGTTTCTATTCCATCATGAATTATTAAATACATATTTGGGAGAAGGAAGGCAAGTGAGGAAAGACACTAGATGACTATGCAGATTCATACTAAGTGACTGGATTTATTCTCTATCTCGCACCCCTCCAGCCCCCCCAAAGTACTAGGGATTGAACTCAGGACCTTGTACATGCCAGGCAGACAGTCTACCCCTGAGCTACATCCCCATCCCTCCCTATTCTCTTCTTAAAGTTGAAGAAATATACTCAACAAATATAGCTGAAGTGAACTCAAGGAACAACTGTTTTTCAACAAACTAGAAAATGCAATTAAATTCTTCTTTGGTATTTCTGGACAAGTCAATTCTCTATCTTAGAAGCTATGCACACTATTTCTATGTCTAGAAATAGAAAATGAAACAAATTTAACTTTCATTAAGATGTTAATTTTACTTATACTTAATTCAAGTTAAAAATATAACATCTTTTAATTTTAAAGGCTGGGGAAAACACATTGTATTATACATATCAAATTCAATTTTTCACTAAAGAGTAATAATAAGTAAAAGATAAGGTAGGCTTTTTAATAAGTAAAAGATGAGCTGACTTCCTTTCATTGAATTCATAAAAGTCTTTTAAAGGAGAAAAAACCAATCATTTAGACATTAGAGTGAACCTAATTCTTTGCCAAATAAAAGGTTTATCAGAAAGATTCAGAATACGATATTCAGCTTTAAGATTTTGTATACACAGGACTCGAGTTTGACACAGTTTAATAAAGACATAAGTTTCTTCGACGAGACTTAGTTTAGTCTACTTCTCCAGTCAAAACATAAGTGGAAAAAAATCCATAAATAATTATAATTACCTTTAGTTCCTCTATGGACTGGTAGTCATTGTTCTTGATCTTTTCTTTCATGGTACTAAAATCCATTGGATGTTTAATAATCATGGAGTAGCCAGGAGCAATAAAATCAGTCACAGGAAATGAAAAGAAAGCACTTGGGTCCTTTCTGTGAAGATATGCAAAAGGCAGTGCTGTATTTTATTTCTTCTACTAACTAATCTACTAGTCTAAAAGCAGAACTCAGAAGTAAACTTTCAGATGTGGAAAGCATTTCTATTATGTTAACATGTTTTTTCACTGAAAAATTGAAATGATTTTCAAGACTAGTGACTACTTAATAACAAGGTTAGAGGTTTTGCACACTAGTACTCTTAAGACAGAGAATCTTTTTTTTAAATATGCACCTCTCCACAGGGGGGAAAACAAAGCAAAGTAAATAATCTAGACTAACCGACCAATGTCTTAGCCTTTTGGAGGTTAGTACTGCATATCTCTTTTACCCACTATTGCAAAAAACAGAAATGATAACTAAGAATGTACATCTGCAATTCTCTGTATTGGTTTTATAACCAATAGGCTTGCACTCCTGGTCTATGTATGCGTATTTTCTCAATCAATGCATACAATTTCTACTGTGCATACATGGGGATACTCAAAAAACTGATGTTAAAAGGTCTTCTTAATATTGACCCCCTGTGCGTTCTATCACAGGTTCTCAACTCTGGCTGAACACTGGAATCAGGAACTTCAAAAAATTTCTGATAGAGAAGACTCACTATAGATCATTAAATCAGAATCTCTTAAAGAAGGCTAACATCTATAGGCACTGGCATTTCTAGGATTGAATACTGATATTGGTATTTGAGTATTTGGCATGGTATTTAAGAATCAGTGCTCTAATCAACTGAGTCATTAGACTGATTTTTTTATCCCTCTGAAAATATGGCATAACAAAGTTTTTTTTTTTCTTTTATTATTCATATGTGCATACAAGGCTTGGGTCATTTCACCCCCCCTGCCCCCACCCCCTCCCTTACCACCCATTCCGCCCCCTCCCTCTCCCCCCCCAATACCCAGCAGAAACTATTTTGCCCTTATTTCTAATTTTGTTGTAGACAGAGTATAAGCAATAATAGGAAGGAACAAGGGTTTTTGCTGGTTGAGATAAGGATAACTATACAGGGAGTTGACTCACATTAATTTCCTATGCGTGTGTGTTACCTTCTAGGTTAATTCTTTTTGATCTAACCTTTTCTCTAGTTCCTGGTCCCCTTTTCCTATTGACCTCAGTTGCTTTTAAGGTATCTGCTTTAGTTTCTCTGAGTTAAGGGCAACAAATGCTAGCTAATTTTTTAGGTGTCTTACCTATCCTCACCCCTCCCTTGTGTGCTCTCGCTTTTATCATGTGCTCATAGTCCAATCCCCTTGTTGTGTTTGCCCTTGATCTAATGTCCACATATGAGGGAGAACATACGATTTTTGGTCTTTTGAGCCAGGCTAACCTCACTCAGAATGATGTTCTCCAATTCCATCCATTTACCAGCGAATGATAACATTTCGTTCTTCTTCGCGGCTGCATAAAATTCCATTGTGTATAGATACCACATTTTCTTAATCCATTCGTCGGTGGTGGGGCATCTTGGCTGTTTCCATAACTTGGCTATTGTGAATAGTGCTGCAATAAACATGGGTGTGCAGGTGCCTCTGGAGTAACCTGTGTCACAGTCTTTTGGGTATATCCCCAAGAGTGGTATTGCTGGATCAAATGGTAGATCGATGTCTAGCTTTTTAAGTAGCCTCCAAATTTTTTTCCAGAGTGGTTGTACTAGTTTACATTCCCACCAACAGTGTAAGAGGGTTCCTTTTTCCCTGCATCCTCGCCAACACCTGTTGTTGGTAGTGTTGCTGATGATGGCTATTCTAACAGGGGTGAGGTGGAATCTTAGTGTGGTTTTAATTTGCATTTCCTTTATTGCTAGAGATGGTGAGCATTTTTTCATGTGTTTTTTGGCCATTAGAATTTCTTCTTTTGAGAAAGTTCTGTTTAGTTCACTTGCCCATTTCTTTATTGGTTCATTAGTTTTGGGAGAATTTAGTTTTTTAAGTTCCCTATATATTCTGGTTATCAGTCCTTTGTCTGATGTATAGTTGGCAAATATTTTCTCCCACTCTGTGGGTGTTCTCTTCAGTTTAGAGACCATTTCTTCATAACAAAGTTTTTTTTTTTTTTTTGGTGGCACTGGGGTTTGAACTCAGAGCCTCACGCTTGCTAGGCAGGTGCTCTACCAATTGAGCAACTCCACCAGCCCTTTTTCTGTTGGGTACTTTCAAGATAGGGTCTCATGAACTATTTGCCTGGGGGTGGCTTTGAACCATGATCTTCTTGATCTCTGCCTCCTGAGTAGCTAGGATTATAGGTATGAGCCACCAGCGCCTGGCTCTAAAGTTTTCTTCCTTCAAATAATATCAGTAATGATTTTTTTTTTTTAAATAGCAACAACTTTTAAAGCATATTTACCATGCTGCTAAGTCCAAAGGTAGGTACGTGGCATATTCTGTATCTAATTCTTACAATACCACAAAGGTGGTAGTATCCTCACTTGTAGATGAAGATATTAATGTTCAGAGAGGTAAAAATCACTTGTTCTGAGATATAAACCTAACACAAGAGAGCTGGAATCTGAATTCAGGTCTATATAAACCTGCCTCCACCTTTCACTGATAGATTGTCTAAGCAGCCATAATAAAAAATATTGACCATAAGCAAAAATATCCAGTCTGGAACTTACATATCAAAATCTGAGCTGTCCATGTAGTTACTATGAATAACAATAAGCTTTATCTATAGATGATGTCAAATTATACGCTCTAAAATTATCCATGTTCTAACCAAAAATGGATGACTAAATGTGATCAATTACTTTTTTTTTTTTCTTTAGAAGCAGGCGTAGTTCTAAGTCTCAAGGATGAAGAATCGTCTAATCACTAAGGCTAATCAAAAGAATATGGCTCTAAGTCAGGCACTGGTCACTCATGCCTGTAATCCTAGTTACCTGGGAGGCAGAGATCAGAGGATCATGGTTCCAAGTCAGCCCTGGCGAACGGTTTGCAGGCCCTACTTGGAAAAATGCCCAATACACACAAAAAAGGGCTGGCGGAGTAGCTCAAATGGTACAGCACCTGGCTAGGAAGTGTGAGTCCCTGAGTTCTAACCCCAGTACTGCCAAGAGAAAAAAAAAAAAATTGGACTTTTGAATCTTTCCTTAAATAGATTGCTTCCAGGGTGACTTTATTAACCTACATTCTGATCTTACAAAAAATATTTTAAAGTAATTTAAAATGAAATATTTTAAAGTAATGCCTTCTAATTGGGATGGAATATCCAATACTTAACGTTCATTCCTCTGATTTATTTAAGTGCAAAGACTAGGTAACATTTTTTCAACTAATCACCAAAAAAGAAGAGGCCAACAATTACTGATTTTAGTTGCAAAGCCAAGTTAAGTGTTGACAGTACAGACTGCACTAGAGAAATTATCTTAAAAAAGTTTATAATGTATTTTGCACTGACATATAACACAGTGAGAAGTCCACTTTTAGAATGTCTTATAACTATGAATATTGTGCATGTAATACACACATCTTTGAACTGGAAATTCAAATTCAGAGTAAGAAACGTATCAAAAAGAAATATTTTAAAGTGACTCATGCCTGTAATCCCAGCTACTCAGAAGAGGATTGTGTTTCAAGGCCAGTCAAGGCAAAAAACTGCTGAGACATCATCTTAACCAGTAACTTGGGTATGGTGGTGCACGTGTGTGGTCCCAGCTATGCAGAAGACCTTAGGTAGGAGAATCCTGGTCTGAGGCCAACCCTAGGCTGTAAGATCCTACCCAAAAAAAGTAAAGCAAAAAAAAAAGAGCTGGGGGAGGAGGAATGGTAGAGTGCCTGCTTAGCAAGTGTGAGGCCCTGAGTTCAAATCCTAGTACTACCAAAAAGAGAAAACTTTTAACAAAGACTTGAGTTTTTCTTTTCCCTTTTAAGAGCTTAACATTGGTTTAATCTATACATTGAAATCTTTAGATCAAATTTCTGCATTTTTAAAAAAAGAGAGGCAATAAAGGTGGGTGTGGTGGTACACACCTGTAATTCCAGCACTTGGGAGGCTGAGGCAGAGAATCTAAAGTTTGAGACCAGTCTGGGTTACACAGTGAAACACTGTATCAAAAAAAAAAAACAAACAAAACAACAAAAAGGGAGGGACATAGTCTTATGGTATTGAGTTTTTTCTCCCATACTTAGTAATTGCCTTAGATGCTGTACAAATAAACAGAAAGTACTTCTATCTATTAGCAAAATGGAAATATATGCATTGTTATTCCTGGTTTCAAGTTTTTAACATCAGAAATTACTTCAGAAAAAGAGAAATTTGCCACTATGTAACACACTTTAAGCTGCCAGTTAAAACAAACCAAATAAGAACATCTACAAGTCAGCCTCTTAGAGCACTTCTATTGCCAGGTCAAATATTTACCATCCACTTTAAAATCAAGTGCATTTGGATTTAGGCCACAAAATGTGGCTTTAGATAATAAAACATGGAGAAGTGGTTTGGCTTCTCTACATTTACCGTTTCAATTTCTGTCTTTTAAAAATGTTGGAAAAACACTTACCTCTGCAATTGTCTCATCAGTTGATTCAAAGCTTCTTGAAGGGGCGTCTGTTCTACTTCTAAAGAAAAGACGGGGAAAGGTGTGTTTAAAAAAAGGAATATTCTTGCTCTCTCTTTAGCTTTCTTTCGATATGACTTATCTACAATCATTATTAAATATCTCATACACAAATTCTATTTATCTTAAAAACTCTGGAGAGATTTAAAATTGAAGCTAATTTAAAGTTCTTGTGCAGTAAGAGAAATAAGAAACTTAAGAAGTAAACTCTGTTACAGCCTTTTAAACTCTGACTTAGGAGTTGAAGCCCAGACACTTGCCCTAGCAACAAGTTCAACATCCTCATTTAGGACAGACAGTTCAGAGGTATTCCAACCTTCTTGTTTAGCTAACGAGCTGAGAGGCTTCTCAGGAGGCAAGTCTAATCTTATAGGAGCATGACACTGGAGGTCTTTTTCTGCCTCAGTCTCCACACGGTCTCGATCTCGTTTCTTTTTATCCTCCTAAATAGAACAAAGGGAGATAATTTAGAGATATTTCAGAAGCAATATCTTTAAATACATAAGTCATTTTGCTTTCAATGGCAAAAAAAAAACACCAAAAAGAAAATATTCTTAATGTATTTTACTGCCATCTACTGGAAAAAAAGTGCTTCTTTATGCTAAAAATAACCAATTAGAAAAAATAATGCTATTCATAAAAGCAATATAACACATCTAGGAATAAATCTAATAAAAGATCCCCATGATTTTTTTGGAAAAATTATGAAACAGTATTGAAAGCCATAGTACAAAACCTGAACAAAAGAGCTATACCATGTTTATGGAAGTTTTCTTCAAAGTATTATCAATCGAAATTGTAGCAGGGAGCCTGCGGCTCATGCCTATAATCCTAGCTACTTATGAGGCAGAGATCAGGAGGATTTCGGTTTGAAGCCAGCCCCAGGCAAATAGTTGATGAGACCCTATCTTGAAAATATCTAACACAAAACAGGGCTGACAGAGTAGCTTAAGTGGCAGAACACCACTTGAGTTCTGCTACTTGAGGCCCTGAGTCCAAACCCCAATACCACCAAAATAAATAAACTGTAAAACAGGATTTTTAATAGACTCTGACAAGCCAATTGTCTAGTTTACCTTGAAGAGTGAATGATTAAGAACAGTTAGAATAGCTTTGACAAAGGTCACAATACAATAATGCAGAGCTGGGGATGCAGTTCAGTGGTAAAGTGCTTGCTAGCATGCACAGGCCCTGGCATGGTTTGATCCCCAGCACTGTAAAACAAAGCAAAACAAAACAAACAAACAAAAAAAACCCATAAAACAAAAAATTGTTTTGCCAGATATTAAGTATTTGTATAAAGTGAGATGATGTAGGTAGTACATAGGATTGACAAGCAGACCAATAGAACATTATTAGAGTCCAGAAAGAGACCCATGCCCACAGGAAAATCTTGGTATCAAATCACACAGGTAGCATTATGTCAACATACAAAGGGGACAAATGCTTCTGTACACAGAAAGAGAAAATAAAATTACATCTCTACTTTATGCAATACTTAAAATGTCAGATAGAAGAATCTTTGAGACCCAAGAATAGGGAAAAACTTCCCTCAATAAAACACAAAAAGAATAAATCTCAGCTACATATACAGTCTAGAGAAACTTCCTTCATAACTCAGTATACATGGAAACGTGTATAAGAATATCATTGCAATGTTTGAAATAGCAAACAAAAAAAAATCAGGAATAATCCAATGCTACCAAAAGGAAAGTAGATTAATAAATTATGGCTTCTTAACAGGTAAAATTAATGAGCTAAAATTTTACTGTATCAATATGGATAAAATTCAGAAATACAACGTCTAGAGGAAAACAGGTGCAGAATCATGTTACAAAATCAGCTGTGTAAAGTTTGGAAACACATAAGCATATTCTTTAAGGATGTATGCAGAACTAGTAAAATTATTAAAAAAAAAAAAAAAGCTATGCACGATATACACCATAGTCAGGATAGTGGTTCTCTACACAGAGGAAAAGGATTCTGAAGGGCACATATAAGACTTCATCTGTTACCTTAAAGCAACTGAGGCCAATAGGAAAAGGGGAACAGGTACTAGAGAAAAGGTTAGATCAAAAAAAATTAACCTAGAAGGTAACACCCATGCACAGGAAATCAATGTGAGTCAATGCCCTGTACAGCTATCCTTATCTCAACCAGCAAAAACCCTTGTTCCTTCCTATTATTGCTTATATTCTCTCTACAACAAAATTAGAAATAAGGGCAAAATAGTTTCTGCTGAGTATTGGGGGGGGAGAGGGAGGGGGCGGACTGGGTGGTAAGGGAGGGGGTGGGGGCAGGGGGGAGAAATGAACCAAGCCTTGTATGCACATATGAATAATAAAAGAAAAATGAAAAAAAAAAAAAAAGACTTCATCTGTGTCTATCCTTTCTTTAAAAATTAAACAAAAGATAAAATGCTGCTTAAGCTGGATGGATGGTATCTAGTGTCAGTTTATGGCAGTTTTATTATTCTCTGTACTTCTGAGTTTTTGAGATGAGAAACTCTGTGTTGTCAAGGCTGGTCTTGAACTTGTGGGCTCCAGTGATCCTCCTGCCTCAGTCTCCTAAGTAGCGTAGCTGGGACTATAGGCCACCAAGCTCAGCAATTGTACTTTGCATTTTTAAAATTAGCTGTGCGCTAGTGATTCACAGCTGTAATCCTAACTACTCAGGAAGCAGAGATCAGGAGGATCCTGGTTCAAAGCCAGTCCTGGCAAATGAGAGACCCTATAGTGAAAATACCCAACACAAAAAATGGCTGGCGGAGTGGCTCAAGTGGTAGAGCACCTGCTTAGCAAGCATGAATCTCTGAGTTCAAATCCCTGAAAAACAAGTAAATACCCATTTTATGTTTTTGAGAATCAAGATTCTTATTAGGCTCTTACCAACTACAATTTTTTTTCTTGGCCTATGTTCTACTTTCTTATTCTAGTTATGTAAAGCACTGTTCCTAGACCAGTACTATTAGTTAGGAGTTATCTAGGAATATTCCAGAAATGCAAATTCTGAGGTCCCATTTTGGTTCTTAAGCTTTATTGTGCATCAGAATCATCTGACGATCTGGTTAAGGCATGGATGGCAAGCCCCTGACCCAGAATTACTGATCCAGCAGGTATGGGGTAAAGCTCAAGAATGTGTTTTTAACAAGTTTCCAGGTCACTTGTAAAAGAATCACATTTTCAGAATCACTGACATAGAGGTTTGTACTCTATTTTCAGAGTCCAAAGCACATAACACACAGTACATGATTGGTTGAAAAGCTCCAGAAAAAAAATGTCTTAAAATGTACTTGATCCCAACTGCAATTAATATTAAGTTGACTGGTATCTGTTTTTTATAGCCTTATCACATACTCTGTAGCAATAATTCTTGACTTTAGAAAAATTTCTTTTGCTCAGAAAAACAGGCATGATGGTAAATGCCTATAATCCCAACATTCAGGAGGTGGAGGCAAGAGGATCTTCAGTTCAAGGCCAACCTGGGCTACAAAGTGAGACTCTGTCTCAGAAAGCAAAACATACTAACAAACAAAAAGCTAACAACATTCTAAAGGATGATACAGTGTCTCTGAGTGACCTTAGCTTAGTAACTTTTATCTAGCTAGCCTGGTTATAATAACCACTTTATTAATTACAGCAGAAGAACACAACCTCTAGGCTAGAGTTCAAAATAGAATAATACAAGAACATAGTTAGAAACTCCTATACTGAATAGAGATTTTGTAGCACGCGATTGCCAGTGGGGACTTGGGAGACCTAGACCAATATGTGAACTACAACGATCCACTGTCTGCGTGCCAGTTTCTCATCTATACCAGAGGTATTGATCTCCACAGGTCTTTTCCACCTACAATTCTAATCCCAACCTTCTAATTTTTTATGATTCACGTTATTGAATCCTATTGTAAATATCACTTACTAAAGTAACAGATATGTAAAACCACAAGTTAACATAGTTAACATAGTTCTGGTTCACAGTTGGTTAGTGTATTTTGCTAATTACATGATAGAAAACTGAATAAAACTACTAGCATCATTTAACTTTAAGTAGTCAAGGAAAAAGAGTTCATAGTACAACTTATAAAAGGGCTCAAAATCTGATTTTGCCACTACTAATGGCAAAGCTATGAGATGATAGATAAACCACACAATTTTTTGGAATTGAATTTTCTCATCTTCAAAATAGACATAATGGTACTCAAAGGACTATTTGGAGGATTAAATAAGACAGTGTATGTGAAGTTTTAGCATATTACCTAGTACATAATAGGCACTAATTCATTCAATAAATAAATAAGGCTCTATTGCATGGATTATAGTGGTAGATAAAACACACATGGCCCTGCTCTTACAGGGCTTACAGTTTGTGAGAGGGATGTTAAATAACTCATTTAAAAAAATCAAATTAACAGATTTCAAGGACAGAATATTAAGTGATCAATTTTTTTTGATAAGTATGGGAAGGCATCTATGAGGAAGTAACTTCTAAGTTGGAGCTGAAGGAGAAAGAATCTAGACAGGTTTGGGGGTGAGGTTGGGGCAGGAACAGCATCCCAGGAAGAGGAAATATCCTGTATGCATAAAGGTCTGAGGTAGTCAGTAGAAAGGAACAGTGGCTATTTCCTTAACTATAAACACACTACTTATTTCAAAACAGATTCTAATTTTCTGTGACACGATGGCAAGTTTTTAAGCTGTAAAACTTTTAAAGCAAATTTTTGCTCAAATTATTACTATTGTAACATTCAGTGCACTATGTTATAGACACATTTGCCCTTCACTAGAATTCCCTGAGGCAGGGGCTCTTGTCTTCATCAGTTCTGACTCTTAAGCTCAACAATGCCAAACACACAGTATTTGCTAAATAAGTACTTGCAGAATTACAGGATACTGCATGAAATAGGAACATGATTATATACAAATTAAGTCCTTAATAACTTCTTACAGATACTTTTGGAAGAGATAATTTCCCCTTTGAAAGCTGATTTTAGAAACCAGTGAAAAAATCAAGTTTCATTGCTTTGCAGCTAAGCATCATTTCTGGCCCTACATTGAAAACATCTTTTGGCACAGGTTAGCTGTTACCTCTATGAAGCCTTCACAAGGCAGACTGAGAACATTTTTTTCCCTGGAAATGTTCTTTATTTCTACCTGTATTAGGATTACTAGGCCATGAAGTTTATTTATCTTTTTGTGTCTGATTCCCTAGTCTAACTATGAGCTCCCATAGGATTCTATTATTGATCGATCTATATCTATCTATCATCAGTTTTCATCATTTGACTCTGTTACATTCTGCCAGACAACAGGTATCTGAAAAATGAATAAATAGTCCTTCTTCTCAAAAGATCTCATTATGAGTATGACCTCAAGTATGACACACATGGAACAACAGCCCTGAGATTGTGAGTGTGGCAGATCCCATACCAAATGAACCAGTGAAATATGTAGAAAAAATTCCCATTTTGTTTACTCTGATCATAGTCATTTATTGCTCCTCTTCTCTCCACCTCATATTCTGTGCCTCAGTTAACTCAGTGATGCACTAACAGTATCTGCCTCATGGAATTACTTATAAGAGTTAAAATAATAAGTACATATAAAGGGGACTGGTGGAATGGCTCAAGTGGTAGAGTGCCTGCCTGGCAAGCATGAGACCCTGAGTTCAAACCCCAGTACCACCAAAACACACACACACAGACTCCTTCCTATAAATACATATAAAGAACTTAGAACAGTGCCTGGCGTAAACACTGAAATGTCAGTTTCTTTTTGGTGGTACTGAGGGCTTGAACTCAGGGTCTTATACCTTGAGCCACTCCACCAGTCCTTTTTGTGATGGCTTTTTTTTTGAGATAGGGTTGCAAGAACTATTTTCCCAGGCTGGCTTCAAACAGCAATCCTCCTGATCTCTGCCTCCTGAGTAGCTAGGATTATAAGTGTGTCCCACCAGCACCTAAATGAAAAGTCTGACAAACCTAGCACCATACTAGGTTCCAAAAGGCATACATATTTATTAGGATTTACTCTGTATAAGTTTTTAATTTTCATCATAAATTTTTACTTAATAAATTCATCATAAATTTTACTTATTAAATGTTACCGCTTTCAATTTATTTTAAACTAAAAAATACTACTCTTTTTTGATTTTACTGATATCCCTAGAATGAGACTAGCCTAATTTCTTTGACTATCTCACCTGAAGCTGACTTGTAAAGCTGTTAGCACATCATTTCAGAACAAGTAAGTTTCACTAAAGGACCTTTCACCTGAGTTATTTCCTTGCAAAGCTGTCAAAGAAGGTCTCCAATGCAGTCTATACTCTTAATATTCGTTAGATACTGTTAACAGATTAGTATGACTAAGGTTCAACTTTTATTACTATCATCCTTCCACTCAGCAAGTTGACTCCCCACTGCCTACATATTGAAGTTCAAACTTCCTACTCTGACATCTTCACTAACTCTCAGAGCTTATTCTTTATTTAGCTCTACTTATTCTGTGCTTAAGAACAGAACTACTGCTGGAGATGTAGCTCAATAAGTGTTTGCTTACATGCACAGGGCCCTGGGTTAAACCCCAGCACCATCACCAAAACAAAGCCAAAACTACTTTATGTACCCTGTACACATCTTGACACTTGCCCAGCTCCTTAACCCCACTTGATGTGCAAGCTTCCTTACCTCCAAATCTCTATGCAGTGGCATACCAGTCTATTGAGGGATCAGCTTCTCAAGTTAGCAATATAAATGAAAACTGGGTTTTCATCATCTTTGAAAATACCTGATGTAGCCCATAAGGTACAACAGCCATGACTTTATACATAAGGTCCTTTTACATATGACCATAAAATCTAAAAGGAATAGTTTTACTGTGTTAAAATAGGGTCATTTTCCACAGAGCATAGTGTTGAGCCCATGTTAACTGACATATAGTGTAATACTACTTTATTCTCATTTCCAAAGTTCAACTCAAATGCAACCTCCTGAGCAGTCTTCTGTGATTACCTATAGCTCTATGTAATCTCAGGAACCTCAGCAGGTTGGCCTCATGGCTCAAGCCTATAATCCCAGCTTGGAAGGTGAAGATAGGATAGAGGTTTGAGGTCAGTTAGCATGACCCCATCTCAACAAACAAGCCAGGTATGGTGGGGTACACCTCTAATCCTAGCTACTTGGGAGACATAGGAAGGAGAATCATGGTCCAAGGCCAACCAGGAGACCCTAAAACATAACCCAAAACAAAAAGGGCTAGAGTCATGACTCAAGTGGTACAGCCATCTGCCTGGTATGTTTGAGGCCCTGAGTTCAAACCCTAGCACTGCTGTCCCCACCCCAAAAACAGAGTATAGTACTGCCTGATAGTGACTGACTTTATTTTCCCATGTACTTTGGGTAGAATTTGGCATTCACTTCAACAGCCCTTTTACACTAAAGACCTCTTTTTGTTTGTTTTTTCTGAGGCAGGGTATTGATATGCAGCCCAGGCTGGCCTATAACTGGTAATCCTCCTGTCTCCACCTTCCAAGTGCCAGGATTACAGACATGCCCCACCAGGCCTGGCACAAGACTGAAAAACTTAAGGGCAGAATGTGAGTTCCTGTCTGGCACTAACTGTGTAACTTTGATCAAGTAAGTTATTTAACTTCTCAGAACCTCATTATCTTAACTATTAAAAAAAAAAAAAAAAAAAGAAGATAACATAATCCAAAAATTCTACTTCTGGGGTACACATCCAAGAGATTCAAAGTACAGCTTCAAAGAGATTTCTGTATAACTCATGTTTATAGCAGCATTATTCATGACAGCCAAAAGGCTGAAGCAAGCCAAATGTCCAGCAAGTGCTGGACAAATAAAACAAAATGCGGCATATTCATATGATGAGCTCATTTGCCCTTAATAAGGTACGAAATTCTGACACATTCCACAACACAGATGAACTTTGAGGACATTGGGCTAAGTGAGATAGCTAATCACAAAAAGATAAGCACTGTATGATTCCACTTAGAACGAGACATCCAGAATAGTTAAACTTATAGAAGTAGACGGGCCGTACAAATACAAAACAGCATGGGTATTCTTTGAAGCAGGTCCTGCAAACCACGTGGTGTGTGGCACCAGTGCCCACCAGCACCGCAGCCAAGTTCACTGGACACGGGGGCGGGGCCGCCTCACCTTGACCCGCCTCCGCTTTCGCCCCTTCTCCTCCCCCGGAGCCTGCTTCTCTCCCTTCTTCCTCTTCTTCCGCTTTCGATCCTTATGTTTGTCATGGTCGTTTCTGTCTTCGAACAGACTGGAGTCGTGCCCCGAGCTGCCGGTGGAGAGCTCGGTGACCTCGTTCCCGCCCACTTTCAGGACCAGCTTCAGGGGCTTCTCCACGTAGTCTGAAACACAGGGGCGCCGGGTTACGGGGGGCTGGCCAGGGCCGGGCGCGCGGGGGGCCGGGGAGCCGGGCGCGAAGGCACGGCTGTCGGACACACGTGGGCGCCCGGGCGGCCTCCCACCACACCCACCGGTGCCGGGGTCCTGTTCGAACGCCGCCCGGCCCGGGTCTGCGCGGCTGCGGCGGGCCGCGCCCCCTCCGCGGGTCGGGGCCCGCCAGGCCCCGGGGAGGTCACTTGGCGAGGCCGGACCCGCGTGGAGGCGCCGGCCGCCCCCACCCGCCGCAGCCCGCCCCTCACCCTCGTAGAGGTGTTTGTCCGACTTGTGCTTCTTGTGCTTCTTGCCCATGTCCGACCGGGCCCCGGTGCCCGCCCCCCGCGCCAGGCCCAGGCCGTGCGGCGCCGCTTCCGGTCCGGGCCAGGCGAGCGGAGGGCGGGAGCGGGGCCCGCGAGACCCCGCGCCGCGAGGCAGGGGGACGGCGCGCGCCCGGCGGCGCAAGGCCCCCTTACGAAAAGCCGACCCGCGAGACGCAGCCGGAGTCCGAGCAGCGGCGGAGCAGCGAGCGGGCGGCGCACTGGCGGGAAAGAGGGCCCGCCGTCCGCGCGCGGGATGAGGGCAGCTGCGCATAGCGACCCCTGGCGATCGGGGGTGGCGCTGCAGCCTGCGGCTCGGGGGGCCTATCGCTCTGAATTTGTCCCTCCCCCTTTCTCTCTTGTTCCCTCCTTTCCCTCTCTTTCCTTCCCTATTTTATTCTTTTTTCCTTAACCCTTCCGCCTTCCATGATTTCTCCCCTCTTTCTACTTTCCCTTATCTCTGCTTCTTTCCTTTGACAGTACTTACTGGGTACCAGATCCAGCAAACTTGACGCATTGGTGAGCGTAGAATTCTAATTAAACAAACAAAACCTTACGTGATAATAGAGAAAGGCCTCCAAGATCTTAGTTAAAAACAACAACCACGTGTGGACCGTGTTTTTCAGTTAATGTCCATTTGTGAACGCAAGTGTTGCTATCTGGATAGAAAGCTGAAGTGGAGACACAAGACCTGGCTAACAGTGGTTATCATTGACAGGGCTGGAGGGGGAGTGATTGTCTTACTGGTTTTTTTTTTTTTGGGCAGAACTGGGATTTGAACTCAGGGCCTTGCCCTTGCTGTCTACCCCTTGATCCACGTTCCCAGACCTACTTTTATACTTCTCTCTATTGTTTGAAAATTGTTAAGGGCGTATGTTAACTTTTCAACAAATGGGAAAATAAGAAAGTAAAATCTAGAAATTAAATTAGCTAGAATTAAATAATTCAGAAAAAATTGTGAAATGTAGTTATTGGACTCACTCCGTGTGTGGATACGGAACTACTGTTGCTTTGTAGGTGGTAGCCACTCCTCAACCTGGCTTTAAGCCGGTCTTCCCATTCACTGTCATCTTTAGGTGCTGAGCCCTCCTGGGACAATGAGTCACATTTTGCCCACTGGCATTTACCCCAATGTGCCATGTTAAGATGTGCACGTGCAGGGATGTGGTTATAAGGAATAACAATATCAATATTTTTCTATATGGCAACCTTGAAAGGTAGGAAAGGCAAGTACTATTCATATTCACATTTCATAGATAAGGAAATGAATGCCCAGAGAATTGAGGAATGTTGCCAGTTTAGTGGTAGAGTCAGGATTCAAATCCAAGCTTTCTGATTGGTCCTTTTCCCTGTGTACACAGTAAAGGAGATCTTAACTGTCCATACTTTTAGCCTTGTAGTGCCCCGTACATTTTCAGATAAGCTTCTAATTACAGTCTTGTCTCAAGAAAGAATCTGATACCAATCATTTATACTTTAGTAAGAATTTGGACTCCTGGATTGCCTCTCCCAGGAAGATTTGTAGCTTGCTTTATTTATGTATTTTTGTGACTTGTGATCAAATACAGGGCCTTGTGCACACAAGGCGAGTACTTTATCACTGAGCTACACCTCAGCTCTGTAGCTTTATCTTGAATTCCAATGGTGAAATGGTAGGCTTTTATTTTTGGACTCTACTGGTGGCAAGTGATAGCAAACCCAATTTGAATTATTTCAAGTAAGTAAAAGAGATTTATGGGTTTACATGCCCAGAAAAGGCAGGAGAAAAGCTTGCCTGAGGAAAGATGGGAACCAAGACTTTGGTGCTGTTGGTTGTTTCTCTCTGCTTCTCATATGTGTGGCTCTACAATCCTCCATCCTTACAATATGGCTGGAAACAAAGCTACCAGCTGTCTGGAGGATCCTTATGTGTCCTGACCAACTGGGAGAAAGGTTTTTTCCCTGTCAGTTTCTTCCAGATCGCTGAGGTTAGCCACCAAAGATGAGGTTCCTCTAGCAAAGGCCATTACTTTTTCATGAAAGCTGTTCGTGTGTGCTACCTTCTTGTAAATAGCCTCGCTGGCTTCCATGAGGTAGAGGTCAGGGATGAGGAAGAGGGGAGAGAGGGTTGTGTTGGGCAAGAGAAGCTCTGCTACTTTCAATAAAGCCACAGGCACCCCTAAGCATAGGGCAAAGCTGGGGTTCAGCTTTTCAGCTGTGGCTGTAGCTCTTTCTGCATTAAGAAGAATCGCTATGCCAACGCCCATGTGATCTGGCCTCCACTGTGGCATGCCTTACTTCAGCTGGCCATGTACATTTGCCTGTCTGTTGCCATCACCCTGTGTGCTCCCTGAGGGCAGGGTCTGGTCCCATTCTCTTTGGTACTCACGGCACCCAGCACAGTGACCACCACTCTCCTAAATGCCTCCTTCCTGTGACTGCCTGTGATGGAGGAAAATGATCAACTTGCTTCATTTACACTATGAAGTTAGTGACATCCCCCCTTAAGAGCAATCCTCTATAGGTCACAGAGTGTTCACAGCCATGAAAGGTAAGAACAAAAAGCAGAATACACTTCCTAGGAAGGTGAGCTTTGGAATTCCTGGCACTACTCCTGTGCCTAGCACACAGAAGGCACAAGAAAATGCTAGTTAAGTTACACCATGCAGTGTCAGAAAGACTGTAAAATAACTCCCAAAGTTTCCTGATTCCTGGCTTGATGAAGAAAGCTGCCATGTTGGAGAGGCCCATGTGGCAAAGACCTGAGGCTGGCCTCCAGCTGACATCCAGTAGGCACTGAGGCTCCCAGCCCCACAGCTGTTGAAGAATTGAATCCTGCTAGCAACAATTTGAATTTCCAAGTCAGTCCTTCCTCAGTGGCATTCAGATGAGAGCCAGCCCTGGCCATCGTTGTTTTGATTGCAGCCTTGTGAGAGACCCAGCTGAGCTGTGTCCAGACTCCTGATCCACAGAAACTGCGAGGTCATGAATATATCTTTATTTAAAGCCACTAAGTTTGCGGGCAACTTGTTTACACGGCAATAGGCAGGTTAAGCAAATGATATCACCCAAACGGGAAAACCATGCCTGCTGTGGGCCTCTGCAAGGAGGGCAAAGGTGACATTGTCATGGCTGCTGTGGATTGAGCGCTAGCCTGAGTGGGGCACTTGCTAAAGGATGGCACACATTATCCCTTTTCCCCTAGTTCTGTCCTGGCAGGAAGAGCCCTGTCATCATATATCACAGTGGGGAGACTGAGGCCTGGAGAAGTTAGGTTGTTGATCCCTGGTCACCCAGCTTCCCTGCCTGGGATTCGAATCTGTGTCTGCTTACCTCCAAATCCTGCCTTCTAACCCCTCACCCTGCTGCTCTTTGAAAAAAGGACCAGGTCAGCTCCAGTGTGCCTGCCTGTGCATGTGGAATAGAGTCAACTTAAAGTCCAGAGGAGGATGCAGAGGCATGGACACACTCGTTCATGCACTGAAAAGGATCAGAATACAGGCAAAGAATGGGAATCATTGTCAGTCGCTGTTTATGGATTTCTGTGAGTATTTGGACCTATGTGGACAAGGAGAAGTGGCCCAAGAAAAGATGACTGCTTGGTAAAATTGTCCTATAATGGTGGACCTAGGGAGACATAGGGTTTTGATGATCTGGATAGGGGGTTGTCTCTGACTTGGGCCTGAGGAGAGGCTTCACAGCAGCAAAGGTGTAGAACCTTCTCTGCTTGCCCACAGGTACTGGTTAAAGAGGAGGAGGAGGTGGTCCTGGGAGAGGCCCAGGCTGGCTCTGTACTTTAGTCAGTCCTACCCATACCTGACTCCATTGGGGGGTTTTCAACTTCCTTGCAGCATGATTAGCTGTGGGATCCATCATGGAGGCAGAAGGGGTACCTTCTCTTCCCAGGCTGGACCACCTGGTGCATATTTAGCCAGGTCCCAACACTTTAGGGATGAATAATTGTCCTAACTGTTAAGCACCTGCTGTGCACTTGCCACCAGTCCAGATCCTGTATCCTTACTGCTATTCCAGAATGACAGTACATATGTCAGTCTTGCAAAGGGTGGGGCCATAAGGACAGTGACCTCCTCAGAGCCACGTGGCTGGGATTGACTGTAGGTCCTCCCCACCGGGTTGAGAAGATCCTGTTGTGGCAGGGACAAGACTGAACAGAAATCATCAGTTGTTTGGCTTGTTGCGGGGGTCAGGATTGAGACCCATGCTGGGCAAACCCTACAGCTCTGGATAGGGACAAAACCAGCTGAAGTTCAGGTTTCACACTTCCCAGTTCTGCATTGTTGGGCACATCCTGCAGGGACTCTTCCATTCTCAACCTCTGTCCCCAAGGTAATCAGGCCTTCTCTGGCAATAGTGTGCTGCAAGGATGTAAGAAGATAATGAGGTCAGAGCACTGAGCATAGTGCCTTATGTATATATGGTAAGTGCTCAATGTGTGTCACTACTAATATTAATTTTTAAGTATTTGTGATCCTTTAAAAACAAAATTCAAGTAATGTCACTTCCCTGTTCCACACTGTCTCTCAGGTCCCAATCTCACTGAGTCAGTCAAATCTACATGTTGACTTTCAGTGCCAGATCTGGTCCCTGTTCCTTTTCCAGCCCTTATTGTTATGGCCCAGCCACACTGGTTTCCTCACTTGCTTCTGACACATAGCACACCTTCTGCCTCAGGACATTGGCTTTTACTCCTCCCCATGCCTGGAGCACTCTCCTCTCAACTTTGCCCTCACATTATCCTGGTCTTACTGCAAGCTTTGGGACCAGTGAGTCCCAGCAGTCCTTCTGTGCCCTTGGTATATGTGGCTTGAGTTCTCTTTGTGATACTCCAGCAGCTGACATTGTTACGTGTGTGTTTCTCATCATATCCCCTCCTCCCCTCACTGGACTCTCAGCACCCTGAGGACAGGAACTGGATCTGTGTCCCTCTCAACTGTGTATCTGTGCCATTCACAGAGCTGGGCTCAGCACAGGCCTCATCAATGTTTTTTGAATGAATGAATGAATCCATATCATTGTGTTGTGATAGTAACTCTCTCCTTCCTTCCTTGCCTGTGGTCCTTACAGGCTGGATGGGAGGTGACTGTCTTGGAGGCCTCCCAGAAAGCTTGTGGAGGAGGAGAGGCACTGAGGAAGGCTGGCCACTGGGGGGTGTGGCATTCCCAGGAATTCTCTGCCCAGCTCAGCTTCTCCTCCCTCTCCAGCATAGCCTCTGT